TTCCCTGCAGTTGGCAGGTGGTGGAACCAGGATTTGAGCTCAGCCTGCCCGGCACCACACATTGCCCCAGTGTGAGGCTCCCGAGGACCCTGCCTGGCTGGTTTTTGTTCTCCAGATGGTGCTGTGGGGGATGAGTCAGCCCTTGGGTCCAGCGTTCCCCAGGAATGACCTTCTGTGGCTGGAAGCAGAGGCCTGAGGCTAGAGGCTGAAACAATGTCAGCTGCCCTCCACTGTCCAGGGGTGGGCTAACCAGGCTCCTCTCATCTTGCAGCCCCCCTTCCTGAGGCAGCGGTTCTCAAACCTGCCCACACATTAGAGTAATCTGGGAAGCATTAAAAAGTTGCCATGCCCAGGTTGTACCTTATGCAATTATTTCGGAATGTTTAGGACAGGCAATCAGATACCAGCATTTTTTTTTTTAAGAAAAAAAATCTCCAGGTGATTTCAGTGTGTAGCAAAGCTAGGCAAATCTTGCCTGAGAGCATTTTTTTTCCCAAAGTCATTAAAGGGCTGCTGGGGCTCAGCCCTCAAGCCATATTCCAGGCAGGAAGAAGGGAGGAGCATTTAAAAGGATGGGCATTACTAAATAAGTTGGTTTCCTTTAAAGAGCTTTCTCAGAAGCCTCCTCCAGTGACTTCTGCTCACATCTCAATGGCCATTCTTGACTGGAAGGAGACTGAGAAATTGGTTTATACTTATATTTTTATTGATTGTTTTATGGCTTGAACCTGGGGACTTGTGGACAGATTTACATCCTCTTTTTTTGAGACAGGGTTTCACTAACTTGTGACCCTCCTGCCTCCGCCTCGCAAGAGCTGGCATTATAGGCATGTGCCACTGTGCCCCGCTAAATAGACTTTCATATGGGAGATTCTTGCCTAAGAAAAATATTGGATTTCCTTTTTTGTTTGTTTTTTTTTTTTTTGTCTTGGTACCAGGGATTGGATCCAGCAGTGCTTTACCACTGAGCCCCATCCCCAGCCCTTTTTATTTTTAATTTGAGACAAAGTCTTGCTAAGTTGCTGAGGCTGGCCTTGAACTTGTGATCCTCCTTCCTCAACCTCCGAGTCACTGGGATCAGAGCTGTGTGCCACCGTGCCTGGCTGATGCCTAGTTGGTAGGAAGGAGCGGGTGGTTTAGGAAGGTAAGGAGCGGACTGCCACAAACCCCTAGGCAGAGAGGGTGGCATTTCCCAAGGGGGAGGGATTTAGGGACATGAATGACAGTGGCCTCCCCCTCCTCCCACTTGGACAGTTTGGATCAGGTGGGGGTGGGGCTCTGGCTTCCCTGAAAATGGCCAGAAAGACCACTGGGGAGACTGAGTCCTGGAATGGGGAAGTGACTTGCTGTGGTCACCCAGATGTCCACCCTTAGCTGCCTGTCACCCGCTGGTTCTGACCCTGCTCTCCCTGCACCCCACTGCTGAGCTCACTTACGTGGCACTGGGTTCCACTGATGGGCACCTCTCTCCACTGGCCAGTGTCTCCCTCAGTACTAGCAGCAGCAGAACTCTGTGGACTGGGGAAAAGCAGGTCTTTTGGGAAGTTCTTCTCATAGTCTGACTTTATTTCAACTTGCTGTAACATAACCTCTTATCAAAAAGGTTCAGGAGCTGAGGCCCCCGAGCCAAACTTGAATATCTCCTTGACCCTGAGACTTTCTCCATCTTGGCGAAGACACTTCCTCAGCTATGAGAGGGATACTGGGAGGGTAAAGTGGGAAGGAAGCAGGATTCCAGTGGCCTTCTCTATTCGGGTTGGTTCTGGTGTTCAGTGAAACGCAGGGGGACCTCGGGGAGGTCAGCTTACCTTCTGCCAAAACGCATTAGCACACCGGGCAAGCTGGAGTCCTGTGCTGTGGCGAGGCCTGGCTCCTCTCCTTTCTGGAAGACCACAGGGTCGATGCAGAGAAGGCCGAGAAGGGAGGCTGTCCGCAGGTCAGCCAGGGGAAGCAACCCAGTGGGTTGCTCTGAGGCCCTTCTCCCCGGGGCCCAGGCTGTTGATGGAAGAGTGGGCTCTCGGATTGCAGGTTCCAGGCAGGGAGGCTTCTGGGGCTGCTGGGTGGAGGAGGTGGAGCCGCACAGGGTACTTGACATGCCTGGGGGAGGTTGCGGGCATCTGTGGGCTCTGATTTGTGGCCTTGTGAGGTTGAGCAGTGCCCACCAGGGACACTCCCAATGCACTTGGATCGTGGTCTCAGCAGCAGCCCCTGAGCTGGGAAGTGGAGTACACGGGGTTTATTTGGGAGATAAATCCAGAAAGCGTGGAGGAGGAGCAGGGAGTGGGGGGGAGCCGAGGGAACCCACTAAAGGTGCCTGTCAAGCCAGTGACTGCCACGTCCCCTGGGGAGCTCCGGGACACTGAAACACACAGTTGGGTGGCATCCCGGGTGGGCGAGGCACTGGCTGCAGGCTGTTCCTGGGAGGTCAGTCCCCCACCCCGTAGTCCTTTGCACACTAGGAACATAAGCTCCAGTGGCCAGAGGTGGCCCCTGGTGGTTGAGGTGGGCGGTGGCCCTGCAGGGCTCGGGGAGGGGCGCCAACAGCCCTGCTCTCTCTGGAGGAGCCTCTGAGGCCCTGTCGGCAGGCCCAGGCGGCCTGGCCGGGTTCTTTCTTCCTTAGGTTTTCTGGGTTGCGCGTGTTGACCCGAATTTCCAGCTGAGAACCCTCCCCTGTGGCCACCCCACCCGTAAGCTGCTCATTTACTTCCTGTGACCAGAGCCCCCGCCTGTCGATGTCCCCAAGACTTTCCTGATAGAAGTCAGGATCTCTGAAGGATTGAGGGGCCTCGTGGTGGCAGAAGGCAAGGCTGGGGATCAATGAGGACAGACCAGCACTCTGAGGGTCCTCGGGGCATTGCCAGTCTCGAGGAATTCACAGCCAGGGTGGAGGCGGGCACAGTCTCTGGCCCTGGGAGACCAGGCCTCCTCTCTGCAGAGCCTGAGGGGGGGCGGGGGCGGGTAAGAGGAGAGTAATGAGGTCGCTGCAGCTGTCCCGTCCCTCTCCAGGGACCAAGCCTTGCCCCATGGGCCATGACGGGGCTAGTCTGCACCTCTAAATGTCCATGGGCCTGTGAGTCCATCTCGAGTCGCACCTTCATCTGTTTATTTTTGGTACCAGGGATGGAGCCACGGAGCCACATCCCAGCCCTGTTTATGTTTTATCTGAAACAGGGTCTCGCTAAGTTGCTGAGGGCCTTGCTAAGTTGCTGAGGCTGGCTTTGAACTCAGATCCTCCTGCCGGAAGGAGCTCACTGCTGTGGGATGTCCTGGTGTCCTGGGAGCACCCACACCCTGTTGCTGGCTCCCCCACCCCGTGCTTTCTGGGGGCCCAGGGAGCAGGACCGCGAGTCCAGCGAGGGCTGGTCGGCTGCACCGTTCCCTCCTTCTGCTGGAGGGTGGGTGCGGGGGGGTGGGGGAGACCCTTGGCGTGACATAGACTGCTCTCAGGGGTACCTCTGTCCCTGTGGGTCTCTTGGGGGCTTCTCTGGTCCACCTTCATCCCACTGCCCCTCCACCCAGCTCCTGGTGGCTGTTGCCTTAGTTCCTGGGTGGGGGCGGGGCACAGGCCTCCAGCACCCTGGGGACAGGGGTGTCCCTTGGTCAGTCCAGTGCTTATGTCCAGTCTGGGGGTGGCTGCCCTCCAGCCCTTGCAGGAGACCTGAAGTGGGGGGCAGGGGCAGGCCGAGGCTGGCCTGGAGCTCTGGCTAATTTCCCGGGCCTCGATCGATCCCGCAGCTTCTCCTGAGTCTATTAGCAGTCGGCAAGTGAAAATATCCCCCATCGCGAGCCCTGACCTGAGACAGGGAGGAATCCATAGCAATTTGTTCAAACAGAGGAGAGCGGTTCCCTCTGATTTGTATTCCAATTTATTCCAGGCAGGAAGGGGGTCAGGGTGGGAGGGCAGATCCTGGCGTGGCCAGAGCCGGGCTCGGGCCGCCCCCTCAGCCCCCCGTGCCAGCCAGGGTGGCAGCTGGTGCTGCCACGGTTCCTGGGGGGCCAGGAGGGGCGGCGGGGGGCCAGGGAGCCTGCCAGCCTTCCCAGCAGGCTCTGCTTGGCTGGGGAGCTCAGTTGTGGATTTGGTCTTCACAAAACGCAAAGCCACCCGCTCCGGGCCTCTCTCCCGGGCACTGGGCCTGTGCCAGGCGTGCGCTCACCCGCGGTGCCTGTGCCAGGCGGGGGGCTGGGCCCGGGGTGGCAGTGGCCCCAGCTGGGCCCAGGTCGGGTGCTCACTCTCCTGAGGCCCTCCCTGACGGGTCCAGCAGGAACGAAGCTCTGGGCTCCGAGGGGAGGGGCCGCCTCTGAGAAGCCCAGGTGCCTCTTCCCGGGACTCGCGGGGCCCTCTCCAGCAAGCCCTCTCCAGAACCCCTACAATAAGGCTGCTCCGGGTGACACTTATTAAGTACCTACTGTTTCCTGGGCACTGGGCTGGTGCTGCCAATGGGGTCTCTGCAGGGTCCTGGCCTCCTCCTCTGCCTCCGTTTCCTCATCTGTGCCCCCCTCCCCCCTGCGCCCACCCCATGCCTCTGCTCAGTTCTCATTTCTTCCTGGGGGCCTCCTGGTCATCGAGGGTCCCAGGGCTGGTGCCTCTGAAGCCCCCAAACTTCCTCTGGCCCCATCACGCCCCAGGGCCTGGGTCTCCCAGGGGTGGTGCCCTGGCAACCAAGGAGGAGGACCCTGGGGTCCTGCCCAGCCCCCACGTCCGGGCCTCCACTGTTCCCTCCCCTCTGCGTCAGCCCCCCCCCCGGAGGGGAGGGACCCGAGAAGCTCTTCACACCCAGCGAGGTGCCAGCGGCTGGCAGCTCCGAGGTCAGCTGCCGCACATGACTCCCAGGCCCATGACACCCCGAGTCTAACTGCAGAATCACGTAGCTAACTATATCCGAGTCGGGGCTTCATCACTGTGTTGCTGGGGTCGGGATGGGGGGGGGCGCAGGTCTGAGTTCGAGTTCTGCCCCAGCACATGCTGGCTGTGTGGCCTGGGCAGGTTCAGGCCTGTGCCACCAGGGGACAGGGCTCATGGTGGCGCCTTCCCCAGAGGGCTCTGGTGCAAAGGGGCGAAGGGGCGAGTGGGTCCTGCTTTAAGCCCAGGGCCTGCTGTCGGAGGACCCTGCTATGCCGCACCAGCCAGGGTGCGGGTAGCTGTCGCTGTTGCTGCGGTCACATAGGCTCCCACCAGGACAGTGGCGTGGGAGGCTCTGTGTACAGGCAAGGGACACAATATTGGGAGGAAGAGGCGATGAGATGAGGCCCAGGCTCCGGCCAGGAGAAGGCGTGGGAAGCCAGAGCGCTCCCTGCTGGCTCCGTCCTCACCCACCCTCCACTGCCACCCCCTCGGCCCACTCTAGACCTCACTGTCCTCCCAAGAGGCAGCAGCCTCCTCCTGGTCCAAAGCCTCCCTCCTCCGGAGGCCTCTGACCCGGGAGCCTCCTAAGGGCCATGACTTTGCTGTCCCTGGCTGTGATGGGACTCCCATCCCCTGGCCTCCCGGATCTCAAGTCGCTGACCAATTGTTCAGCATTATAGTCGGATCCCATGGTGCAGGCCACTCGTGTGGGTTTAAAATCTTAACCAAAAAAGGAGAGGAAACCCTTCAGTGATGGAGGGAAAAACAAGAGAGCGAGAGAGCGAGAGAGAGAGCAAGAGAGAGAGAGAGAGAGAGCGAGAGAGAGAGAATGCTTTAGCAGGAGGACAGGTACTGCATCTCCTGTTTATAAATATACCTGATGCTAAGAGAAAATATATTCCCAAAGTTCCTAAACTGATTCTTGGAAAAAGATTGTTCTTCCCTTTCCAGGATTTAACATATTCTCCCTCCCGGGGGCGTCTCTATTTGAAGGGACACAGAAAGAGAATGAAAACAACTAATGTTCATGAGCGTTATGGACGCCCAGAGCAGAGGAGGGATTGAGAACAACAGAGGTGGGCACAGGTGGGCTGTCTGAAGTGGGGTGGCCAAGGGAAGGCAGAAGGGAAGGAGGGGACAAGCTCTGGAGAGCTGGAGAGAGCCGTCCAGGCAGGAGAGCTGTCGGTGCAAAGGCCCTGAGGTAGCCTTGGCCTGCTTAAAGGAGGGCAAAGAGAGGAGTGTGGTTGGAGGGGGAGGGCAGCAGAGGGCAGAGGCAGGACGGGCTATTTATTTTATTTTTTAGTTGTCGTTGGACACAATACCTTTACTTTATTTATTTATTTTTATGTGGTGCTGAGGATCGAACCCAGCGCCTTGCATGGGCCAAGTGTGTGCTCTACCGCTGAGCTGCAACCCCAGCCCCCCTGGACAGGCTAGTTAAAAAGTGTCGGTGTTGACTCCAAGTCAGACGGGAGCCACAGAACGGTTTTGTGCCCAGAAGAGGAGGACCAGACCTGGTGTTGGGATCCTTCTGCCTCTGCCGGTCAGGCTGTACCAGGCCAGGCAGGAAGCAGGGTAGGATTCTCAAGAGCTGCAGGAGGTGACCAAGACAGGGTGGCCTTGCAGTGGGGGGACTGGGGCTCAGTCCTGAAGGTAAAGCTGACAGGCCTCGCTGGAAAAGAGGACATGGGGTGTGGGAGGGGAGGACGTGGGGAGGGAGTCCCAGATTTCTGCTCACCGCTGGTGTGTGGGGGTGAGGGGTGGCTCCAGGGACTTAGGGGGCAGGAAGGGCGGTTGCCAGAGGTCAATGGATAGAGGGGAGCATAAAGCTAATCGGGGTCTTACATTTCCACTGCCTGGGTTTGAAACCTCAGAGCTACCCTCCTGCCGCCCCTGGGTTGGGTTGAAGATCCGGCCTGCAGGACCCTGCGGGACCCTGTGGGACCCTGTGGGACCCTGTGGGACCCGTGGCCCTCCATCTGCAGAGCAGCCTTAAGAAGATTCTGGCCGCCAGGTTGCCGTACCCCCAAGCCCACCCCACAGCTGGTGGGGTGCTTCCCGGAGCTGTAGCCGGACTCGGGAACCCATAGTCACCTGGGGCAGGGGGATTGGAGTGACGCTGGCCGTGGGAGACCCCCCTGAAATGCTGTCTGTCCCGTCCTCTTCCATCCTGGGTCAAAGTCCCCGCCTGGTCCCAACTGCGAGATTCATTTTGCCTTCAGGGTGGATGTCGTTCTTATAATCCACTTAAACAACTTCACGGGAAAAAAATCAACCTGAGGGTCCCCAAATGTTGACCATTCACCCTCAGCCCCCTGCCGGGCGGCCCATGTATGTTTTCATAGCAGTGAGCAGTAGTCCCTTCTGCTCCCAGGGCTGGCTTTATCTCCTATCATGTCTCCGCCCATTGACCGAGTCCTCAGACCTGTCCCTTTAAGGGCCACGGGACATCCCTTCACTGGTGTTTGGGCCACCATTCCTCTGTGGCTGGGCATCTGGGTAGGGGCCAGTTCCCTTTCATTTAAACAGCTTGGTGGCGAGTATCCTGGTGTGAGTGACTGTTTTCTTTTAAATTATTTCCTTGGGGCCGAGTCCCCAAAGTGACATTGCCTGATAGGCCACGGGATGGGGCTGTTTTACGGTCCTCATTTTGTGCTGCAGGGTGGTGCCCCCAGGAGGGTGAGCGCGCTTGGCACCCAGCCCAGCCACAGGGCGTTGATCGTAAGTTTGCACTGGTTTCAGGGGAGCGTGCTGATTCACTTCTTTTTACCGTTTTTTTCTTTTTGGTACTGGGGATGAACTCAGGGGCACTCGACCACTGAGCCACATCCCAGCCCTATTTTTGTATTTTATTTACAGACAGGGGCTCACTGAGTTGCTCAGGGCCTCCCTAAGTTGCTGAGGCTGGCTTTGAACTCAAGATCCTCCTGTCTCAGCCTCCAGAGCTGCTGGGATTACAAGTGTGCACCACTGCGCCTGGCAGTGATTCACTTTTTAATTTCTAATTTTCACTTCCTGAAGCCACAACTGTGTCTTTCAGCACCTAATCAGATGACTTTATCTGTGCAGAACTGGATGGTGTACGGGACACTTTCTTACATGTCCTCCCACCCAAGAGGACATGGTGAGCCACTATCATTGGCCTCCATGTTATATGGAGTTTAGTCAAGTCCACAGCTGGAGTGGAGCCTCCGCTGCATAGAAAGGACTCCCACCCACCTACCACCATCCTGCTCCTCTTTTTAAAATATCTTTTTAGATATACATGACAGTAGAACGTATGTTGACACATTATACACGCATGGAGGTAACTGCCCATTCTTGTAGCTGTACGTGATGTGGAGTTACACATATGAACACAGGAAGGTTACATCCCAGTCATTCTCCTGTCTTTCCCGTCCCCATCCTCTCCCTCTTCCCCCAACTCTGCCCTGTCCCATCCGGGGAACATCCTCTCCTCCCTCCCCAATGCTTACCGTGAGTCAGCATCCACGTATCAGAGAGAACATTCGGCCTTTGGCTTTTGGGGACTGGCTTATTTCACTTAGCATGATAGTCTGCAGATCCATCCATTTACCAGCAAATGCCATGATTTCATTCTTCTTTATGGCTGAGTAATAGGCCATTGTGTATTTGTACCACATTTTCTTTATCCACTCAACTGCTGAAGGGCACCTGGGTTGGTTCCATAGCTTAGCTGTTGTGAACTGAGATGCTGTGAACATTGACACCATCCGGTTCTTATCTGAGGGCTCAAGATCCCCTCATGCCCGCATTTGCCCCAGTCTAGTGTCCAGACCACATTGTCCCCCCATGGAGGCCTGAGCCTGGAACCTGGCTTGGGCCTCAACTCCATTGGGCTTCAACAGAACTGTGTTTTATCACTTTGCTGCCCTGGGTTTGGGGTTGTGGCAGGGGGCTTCAGGGGCTCCTGGCTTCAGTAAAGCCACTGCTCCCTCACTCTCTGGCCCAGGACTGGCCCAGGCTGTGCACTTGAGGCTGGAGGGGTCCTAGGGCAGGGTCACTCACGGGGCTGTCAGGCTCCACTTTGGACCGGGTGGACCTTCTTGGTTCAGGCGCACCTGGAGGTTTGAGTCTGGCTGTTCCTCCCTCTGTCTGCAGGTCTGGAGTCTCGCTGGGCAGCTTGCACTGTGCCCATCACCACCCCATTCTCAGTGTGTCGAGCACACAATAGGGAGCCCTCCTGTGCCCATTTTACAGTCAGGAAACTGAGGCTCCAGACTAAAGGGTAAATGATTTGCCCCAGGTCACACAGCAATGGCTGCCTGGAGGAGCACCCTGCACTAGTTCCCGTCACCTGCAGTCCTCCGCCTCCCGCGGGCTTGGTTCATCCCAGCCCAGCCGCCGCGGATTCTATCATTTTAATGTATTTGCACGGGCTCAGATTTATATTTGTCTAGAGGCCACACAGTGATGGACAGGCTGCTGGGGCTGTCCTGGACCCAGGCGAGACAATTTTAGGAGTGTCCCTGTCTATGGGCCCCGCATCCCTGGGTTCAGGTCCTGGGTTCCTGCCCCGATGGGTGGTGGCCTCTCTGTCCCACTGTCAACTTTCCTTCCAGTGATTTCCACCTCATGCTGGCTCTGGGGACTCTACCCTTTGGGCGTCCTTCCAAAGCAGGCTTTGTTTCCAACCTGTCCTCTTGTTGGACTTTGAACAGGTTCCCAAAGGGCCCCGGGCTCTATTATCAAGTGGAAGTGGGACTGGAACTTACAGAGCCCCGCCAGGCGCTCAGCAGAGTGTCCTGCACCCCACCTGCCGCAACTTGTTCACTCCTACAGCAACGGGGGAGTCGTTCCCAGCAGAGCGGATGCAGGCTGTCCCTCTCTGGCAGCTGAAGGAGGTCGAACAGTTTGCCCAAGGCCCCGGGGCCCTTCAGCAGGAGGCAGTGTCCTCCCTCCTGCCTCCTCGCCACACCCCACAGCAGCCCCCAGCTGCCCTCCGTCTTCGAGGCGCAGCCTTCCATCTGCCTTTCCGCTGTCTCCCCGTGAACGTCCCCTCTGTACCGCCTACAGCTGCCATTGTCCCCCCATTGAGAGTTTGATCCTGGTGTCCCCCGCCCACCAGAGAGAGAGTCCCTTTATACTCTTCCTCAGGAGACCTCCAAGCCCTCATTTAAGGGCTTTCCTGGTGGCCTGTCTGGACACCCCAGGCTCCAAAGCAGGTGTGCAGATGAGCCTGGCGCTGACCCTCTGAGATCCTGAGCCTCACCTGGCACCTCCGTCCCTGGGTGTCCTCCGCTGAGGCCAGGGGTGGGCGTGGCCTCCACTGCCAGCCTAGCGGGGATGTTAAGGTGCTGGCTGCTTCCGGAAGCTTCGGGCTCTGCAGCCGTCAGTTCTGCAGACAGAACCAGGCCCTGCAAGCCGCAGAGGGCGGCCCCTGACGGTGCGAGCGGCGCTGGTTTTTATGCTCCGTGATGGCGACGGGTGGCAGCCTGCGCACTGATCCTTTCATCTGTGGCTGCTTGCCACGCTCAGTGACAGCGCCCTCGTGCCCAGAGGTCAGAGATACATGTACTTGGGTTGCGGACAGATTTTTTTTTTCTTTTTTGCAGCCAAAAGGGAGGTCGGCTGCATATGGGTTTGGTTTGATCAGCAAAAAAAAGTCCTTGTCGCACCGTGGGGACGTTAGCCTGGTCTGCAGCCGGGGGAGGGCGGAGGCTGCTCATGGAGGATGGCTGTTGTCTCCTCGGCTCTGCGTCCTAACACCGAGCACAGGAGATTTCGCATACTAGGTGCTCAGGAAATGGTAGAGAACAAATCAATGAATCAATGGCAGATTAAGAGGTGATTGTGTGAGCCCCTGAAGGCCTGGGAAGGCAGGAAGGCAAAGAGTGGCCTGGTCATGGGTCTGACCACCTGGAAGTGATCAACCAGAGGCCAAAAGTTGGCTGCTCCTGCCCCTCAAGGTGACCTGCACTGGGCGAGGCCGGAGGAGAGGGTGTGGGCCCGTGGGGCTGCTTCCCTTGGCCTCCACACAGAGGCCGGAAGCCTCCCCAGACCCTGAGGGCTCCTGAGAAGTCCCTGGCCCACTCCTGGCCGTAGACAGAACAGTGTCAGGCAGGCAGCTCAGGGGGACATCTGGGCTGCACAAAGGGCAGAGTGACCCTCTGCAGAGAGCCCAGGAGGGCAGGGTAACTTCCCCCAGGGGCCCAGGATCCAGGACCTGTGGGCCGCAGGAGAGGCTGGAGCCTCGCTCCTGGCAGGAGGCCCAGGCCGAGCAGGCCCAGCGCCTGCCTGGGAAAGCCTCCTCCCAAGCCCCCGGCCGCCATTCTCTGAGCAGCTAATTAAAACAGAAAAAGCCTGTTAATATTTCAGCACTGTTAACTCCGCTAAATTATTAAGTGTCCATTTGCATTTCACGCATAAAAGGATCGATCAACATGTGCGTACCAGAGCTGGGAGGGTAGGAGGTGTCCCCGAGAGGGACGGTGGATGCTGCCTGGGACCGGCCCCAGGTGGAGATGTGGCCTGAGCCCTGAGCCCTGAGCCCTCTGTCCTCAGCACTGGGTGGGGCACTGGGCACGTGCAGACGCACGGGGTGGGGTTAGTGTGGAAGTTGGGGAGTGAGATGGACTCTGGCTCAGGGGGTGTCCTAGGACAGCTTCCTTAACCTCGCAGAGCCACAGCTTCTCCTTTGAAAAATGGAATCAATACCAGGCTTGTTGTGGGCGATAATGAGATAATAGGTACAAAGTGCTCAGTCCAATGCTGGAACAGAGTAAATGCTCAGTAAACAGTAGTAGTTATGGCCATTGTCATATTATGGGACTGGGGTATGGGTGACCAGCCCAGGTCTCTGGCTCACAGTGAACCCGTATGCCTCTCAGTAGGCCATTATGTTTTGGTGCTGGGGACCAAACCCAGGACCTCACGCAGGCCAAGCCTGTGCTGCACCTTGAGCCACAGCCTGGCCCTTCAGCGGGGCTGTATAGGTTTCATTCTCATCCAGCTCTTCTAGACTATGCCTCCTTGGCACAGGGCCCGAGTGCCACAGCCCCCTGTTACCTGGGCAGCAGGGTTGGCAGGTTTGTTGAATGACTATCTGATGGAAGCCAGGACCAAGATACAGACCCCGGTTCTGTACTGCCTTGCCCAGAACACGCTGGACACATGGGGAGGTGGTTGGGTTGTCGGCACCTGCTTTGCCCTCTGTGGGCGGGAGGAACCAGCTCAGGTAGAGAGGTCTCGCCTGTGTGCATCCTGAGGGTCCGTGGTTCCCCTCTGGGCCTGTGGGTGTGGGCAGACCCCACCCCGCTCACACATTTGGGGTGCGTACATATCTGGAGGGGAAGGAGTGAGCTGATAGGCCAGAGGCACCCTACCTTGGCTGTTCTCGCTATGACACTGCCCCATGGTGACATCTCTCTTGCCACTTGACAAGAAGGATGTCCCACAGAAGGAGCAGGTTACACAACCCCAAATTAGTTTTTGGTTTTTGGTGTTATTTTTGATACAAGGGATTGAACCCAGGGATGCTTAACCACTGAGCTACATCCTCAGCCCTTTTTAATATTTTATTAGAGGCAGGGTCTCACTGAGTTGCTTAGGGCCTTGCTGGCGTTGAACTCAGGGTCCTCCTGCCTCAGCCTCCTGAGCCGCTGGGATTACAGGTGTGCACCACGGTGCCTGGCCCAAAGTAGTTTTGTAGGAAGCCTTAGATCTGCATCTTTTCACTTGTTTTCCCTCTGTCTCTCTAGATGTCAAGAGATATTCTGTGAAGAAAGGGTTTATGGTCAAGTTAAAAAAACAAATTTGGAAAGCATTGGATGGATAAAACTGAGTTCTTTGGGTGTATTTACTGCAGAACTTATCAAAGCCTTTAACCATAAAGTCTCTCTGGCAGAGAGAGAAAGAGAGACAGACAGATAGGCAGACAACATTTAGCATCTTTATTTGGCAGTGAAAATCTTCTGCTATGGGTTATCAAGGAATGCTGTAGGGGACACACTTTTCTTTTTCGTGGAAGTTTGTCCACACAGCTCAGGAGAGCGGGGTAGCAAAGTCTCACAGACCAGAGGCAGGGGAATATACCTGGTTCCAAAGTCCCATTCAATTTTCTCTCCTCCAATGTGTGGGCAGAGATCAAATCCAACCCTGCCTTGAAATTCCTGGGGAGCTTCTTCCAGATTCAAACCCTGGGCGCCCACCATGAGCCAGGGCCTGGGAATCTGCAGTTTAACAGCTCCCTGGGGTCAGGGGACTGGGGCAGTCAGCAGAGCCCCGGGCTTCAAGGTGGAAGGCCTGGGTTCAAGTTCAGCTCTGTTATGGCCACCGTGAGTGACTTGGACAGGGCCTTTCCTCCTCGGCTGAGGAGACTCAATATCACTGGCCCTTTGTGCCCCTCAGAACTGAAGGAGGAGCTTGGGAATATGCAGGAGACCCCAGGACCCTGCCGCCCTGTAGCATCTGGAGCAGACAAGGCACGGGCCTGTAGGCTCCCGGGGAGGCGGGCTCTGGCAGGGAGTTCGGGTTCATCCAGAGAATGATGTCTCAACTCTGTTCTGGAAAGTTCACATGAGTTTACTTCTGTGTTCTTCCTGACAGCCCCCGAGAAATGGGAAAACTTGGGGTGTGTTTACTGCAGGACTTATCAGAGCCTTTAACAATATCCTCTGTGGGCCGAGTCTGTCTGCAGAGAGAACATTTAACATCTTTATTTTGCAATGAAAATCTTCTGCAGTGGGTCATCAGGGAATGTTTTAGGGTACCTCTTTAAGGCAGAAGCAGCTTGCTGAAAGCCACACATTAAGTGTGAAAGAGAGGGGCTGCTCAGGAGAGGGGTTTGCTGCTCCCCGCCCATTTTTCAGCCCCTGCGAAGCTCTCCTTGCCCTCAGCATGCACTTTGAGTGCATTCAAAACCATCCCTACAGTCCAATGCCTGCTCTGAGCATCTCCACCCTGGGATGGAAGGAGGCCACCGCAGGCTGCCTCCTGTCCCCATCTCTTGCTCCTTCTTAACCCCTTTTGGGGGCTGTCACTTAGGAAGGGACACAGACTGTTTGGCCCAATGTTTTACACAGATTGCATTAAGCCCTCACACCAGCCCTGGGAGAAGCCACCGTTGTTCTCAGTTTACAAATGAAGAGGCTGAGGCTCAGAGAGGTTAAGGACCTTGCCCAGTGCCATCCAGCTAGTGGGCCGCAGAGCTGGAAATGAGTCCTGGGTTCTCCGCCTCCATAACTCCGCGTCCTCTGTTTTTCTAAAGCAGACTTGGCTCCCCGCTGTTTCTTGCCACATCCTCCCGTTTTAGAGTTGTCACCGCGCTCTCTGAAACCCTCCCTTGGTCTCTCCAGCAATGTCTTTTGAGCACGGTCCCCGTGTGCTTCTCACGAACGTGTCTGGGCGCCCAGCGCAGCGTGCAACGCCGGCCCAAGCATTTGTTGTTTGACAGACTGAATGAGGATCCTGTCACCGTGCATCACGACCCAGGTGTCGCCTTTTGAATCGAGGCTGCTGTTGGCAGAGGCTCCCCGGGGCGTGCGGCTGCGGCTGGGGGAGGCTGGGGCTGAGCGGGGTCGGGGGAGGCGACCACCCACGGGAGCCCGGGGCCCCGACGGGCAGCGGGGACGCTGCGGCCAAGGGCCGGGCTGTTTGGCACCAGGGGCTCCTCGCTGGGGAAGGAAATCTACGCCAGGAGCCGGTCAGTGCCGGGAAGGGGAAGCGGGTGGCCAGGGGTCTCCCGGGGGTCTCCCTGGTGAGTGTCGTGGGCAGCGGGGGGGAGGGGTGTGTTAATGAAGGTTTAGCTGACACGTCCAGGGCAGTGTCCAGCGTCCCCACGCCCAGCTTCACTCCAAACGGGACCCCACCTTCTCCCAGGAGGTCCCCGTGCCCTCCCCAGCACGCGCTACCCACCCACCCAGGGCAGCCCCCTCAACCCCCCGTCACCCCAGGGCTCACTGTTCCACAGCTCAGGGTGTGGCTGGGTGGTAGAGCTCAGCCCACTGTGTGAGGCCCTCCCTGGCTCGTCCCCTGGGTCCCCTCCCCTGGGCTCCATCCCCAGCAACGTGCAGAACATCAGTTTTCCTGGTTTGGATTTTGAATAAATGAAATGATACACGATGGAGCTCCTGGTCTGGGTTTCAAACCAGGTGTCGGTGGTGCCATGTCGGCTCTATCCAAAGTTTGTTTTTTCCACTTATGATGGTTTCCGGTCCATTGTACCAAGCTTTCAGAGATCCTTTACTCAGACTATTATTTATATATATATATATATATATATATATATATATATATATATATATATGTGTGTGTGTGTGTGTGTGTGTGTGTGTGTGTGTGTATCTCCTTAGTTGTAGATGGAACAATACCTTTATTTTGTTTAGTTAGTGTTATGTGATGCTGGGGTTCCAACCCAGGGTCTCATACATGCTAGGCAAGTGCTCCACACTGAGCCTCAACCCCAGCCCCACACTCAGACTGTTCTTTATTTATTTTCTGGCACTGGGGATTGAACCCAGGGGCACGCAACCACTGAGCCCGCTCCCCAGCCCTTCTTTGTATTTTATTTAGAGACAGGGTCTGGCTGAGTTGCTTAGGGCCTTACTGGTTTCTGAGGCTGGCTTTGAACTCATGATCCTCCTGCCTCAGCCTCCCAAGCTGCTGGGATTACAGGCGTGTGCCACTGTGACCAGCTACTCACACTATTCTGGATGGCCAATGGGTTGCTTCTGGTTTTCAGGTATTATGAGTAAAGAGGCATGAATATTCCTGTACCCTCGTGTGGTTGTCATAAGTGCTATTTCCATTGGGAACATCCCCAGGGGTGGCTTGCTGCCTCCTGGGGCATGTATTTCTTTAGCTGGTGGAGGGATGGCCAAATCTCTTCCCAAGTGGCTCTACCACCAGTCTTAAAAGTTACTGTCGTCAGGGCTGGGACATAGCTCAGCTGGTAGAGTGCTCGCCTTGCATGCACAAGGCCCTGGGTTCAATCCCCAGCACCACAAAAAAAGAAAAAATAAATAAAAAGCTACTGTCCTCAGAGGGAGTCAGATCATCTTAACAGTGTCCCCCACGATGCCCACTTAGGGCCCCATCTCCAGTGAGGACACAAACCTGTCAGGTGACCAGAGGCCCCATGTCTCCTGGCCAGATCCCGACTTCCCCATCTGCTGGCTGTGCCCTGGGACAGTCCAGCACTCCAGCTCCTCTTCAGTGTCCCTTATTGTCACCAAAGCTTCTGTCGTGACAACACCACCCCGCTATGAGCTGGCCACAGAGCCCAGGGTTACAGCCCATCTTCCCCAGGAGCCTGTCCAGTGCGTGTCTTCCTGTGGAGAGGCACCCAGGCTCTGGCGGTGACCACGGGGCCTCCAGGGCTCACCAGCAACCCGTGTGCCCTTCACCTTTTGGCAGGTTGTTCCCTGATGAGATTTCCTGGGGACCTTGGCCACAGAGGGCTACCTCCCCATGTATAGTGACATTTATGCATTTTCATGGCAAAGGGTGACTGTGTTAGGCTCAGTCCCCAGAGTCCAGTGCGTATCTTATATAGGATCTATGCGCCAATTCCAAAATTCATAGAAATGCAATTTGGAAGAGACCTCAGATCGTCTCGTCCACTTCCCTCCTGTAGGTGGGGGATCAGGCTCAGAGAGGTGGCTTGAGTTGTCCAAGGTCACACAGCTTGTTTCCTGAAGAGGAGCCTGGGATTGATTCCTCCAGGTCCGCCAGGCAGACAGGATGGTCACCTGGATGCTCAGGCTCTGGGTGGGCTCCACCGCCACTCTTAGCAGAGCCTGCTGCGGTTCAGCATGGTTGAGCACGGCCTGCGTCCCTCCCGGCTGGGGCCCCACGTCCTTCGACATGTGCCAGGCTGCATCTGTGACGGCCTCTGTGATTAGTTTACATCTGTCCCCTTGGCATGGTGGACGGTCCTGCTGTGGCATCGGCAGGACCCATTACAATCTCCCAAGCACCTTTTGTTTATCCTCCTCCTCCAGCTCTGTGGCTGCTTAGGGTTGGGAGCACCTCTCCTCTTCAGAGGACGAAGGTCCCAGAGCTCACTAGAGGCTTCCCCTGGTGATGCAGGGTGTGGACTCTGTCCACTCAACCAGCACTCAGCCTTCGTGGTCTCTGAAGCCTGAAGCTGCCTCTCCCATGGAGCCTCTGTGTCCTTCTCAGGGGGCCTCCTCCCCTCCTGCCTCCTGGGCTCTCTGTGTCCCCAGCAGGTGGCCTTGCCAGTTCATCCACCAACACTCACTGGGTGCCTGCTACGCTGGGGATCCCGAGATGCGGCTTAGACTGGCCGCCTGAGCACACGGGTCCTGAATCTGAGGCACCCACGGTCTGCTCTGTCGTTGTGCCTGGGGGTGCAGACCTGGAAGCCTTCGTGGAGGAAGTGACGTTTTATGTGCAGGTTTTATCTTTTGGGTGCCGTCGTACCTCCTCGTGGTCCTCGTGCAGGTGTTAGGTCCCCACCTCTGTTCTTCCCACTCCGCACTGTGGGCAGGCAGCTGGGAAGCGGGAGTCCTCTGCCTCTTTCCCAGAGCCCAGGCACCTGTGGCTGGGGGACAGTGTGGCGAGACGCTGAGGGAGGGGCTGTGACCATGGCACTTTAGTTATTTCCCCGCTGACCCCTCGCCGTCTCCTAGGCTTGGTCCCCCTGCCCTGAGCTCGGGACAGAGAGGCCGTGGGGAGCCACAGTCCTTCCAGAGCCCCCAGTCCCTGTGGGGACCTCAGCCCCTTGGAGAAGCGGCTGAGCCCAGGCTCAGGAACAAGGAGGAAACCCATCAGGGTCCTGGGTCACTGGGTCACACTCTCTAAAGCAGATCCCAGGTGGCTGGGCTGGTGGGGACTGTTCGGTTTGGGTGAATGTGATTGGCTGAGAAAATGCTCTCGGGAGAGACTGGGGGATGAGGAAAGCCGCCGGGCCAGGCTGTGGTCTCAGCCCGTCCCCTGGGGGCCTCTGTGGAATGGACTGGGAGGTGGAGGCTGGCCTCTCCCCCGGCCTCTCAGGAGGCAGCTCCGGCCCTCTAGCCTCCGCATCTTACCTAAACCTGCTGCACCCTCTCTTGCAGCTCCAGCCCAGGCCCAGATAGTGCACGCGGGCCAGGCGTGTGTGGTGAAGGAGGACAACGTCAGCGAGCGCGTCTACACCATCCGGGAGGGGGACACCCTCGTGCTGCAGTGCCTGGTCACCGGGCACCCCCGGCCCCAGGTGAGCCCCACCTTGCAGGCTGTCGGAGGCAGACCAGGTGCCAAGCACCAGGCGAGCTCCTTTCCCCAGCGTTTACTCTTGGAATCCTCAAGGCCATGCTGTGAGGAAGCCCCGAATGGCCCCAGCTAAGGGAATTGAGGCTCAGAGAGGTTGGGTAAACTCCCCAGGTCACCCAGCTCCGGTGAGGCTGGAGGCAGAATTTGAATCTAGAGCCAGAGTTCTCTGGAGCTTGGCGCGTTCCTCCCAGCATGTCCTCTGTTGCGTTGGGGGCTCCAGGAGTGACATGCAACACAGAAAATAATCTCTATTTCAGGAGGCTTCTGGCAGGCTAGCTCCCCACTCTGGAGGTTCAAAGACCCAAAGCAATTAGAAGGGAACAGAAGACAAGTATCTGGAAATGCCAGATGCATTTTGTCACCGATCAAGTGTGTGGTTCAGGAGGGAGGCTTGGCCGCTGTGGCTGAGAGCGCCTGAGAGCGCCCGGGAGGAGGCAGGAGGAGGAGGAGGCCTGGGGGCTGGGTGGAGTCTGCGGGTGAGCTGCGTGGCCTTGAATAGCAGCACAAAGGTGGCAATTGATCCTAGGGAGGACAGAGAATATGGAATCCTTTTTTTTCTGGGTAATTGTGGGAACGTGGTGCCTTTAATAGGTTTGACCTTGGGACAAGCAGATGCACCAGGAATCCCGGAAGGCTCTTTCAGCCTCAATCTATTATCACTGTTTGCTGCTTCTCAAAGGTTTGTTTAGAAGTGAAAATAATGTCACTGGATTTAGGGTGGTGTTTGTGTGACTGTTAGGTTGGGGACGCCTTCCCTAACAGCCAGGGAGTGGGGACCTGGGGCCGTCTCTCGCTAAGGCTGCACTGGCCATCCGCATGTCCCTTCATGCTTTCCTGTCTGAGTCATGTCCATGCATCTGTTTCTCTCTCTCTCTCTCTCTCTCTCTCTCTTTCTTTCTTTCTTTCCAGGGATTGAACCCAGGGGCTCTTTACTGCTGAGCCACATCCCAGCCCTTTTTAATATTTTATTAGAGACAGGGTCTTGCTGACTTGACCAGGGCCTTGCTAAATTGCTGAGGCTGGCCTTGAACTCGAGATCCTCCTGTCTCAGCCTCCAGAGCTGCTGGGATTACAGGGGTGCACCACGGTGCTGGGCTGTTTTTCTGTTTTCATCGGTGGTTTTGCTCTTTGATGAACTTTCGGGTTCACACCTGGGGCTCATTTTGACTCTGCCCCCCCCCCCTCACTCCTGTATCTATCCAGATTCCAAGTCTTTTATTTCTGTGGCCCGGCCAGGGGTCTCTCCCCCTTCCTCATCCTCCCCCTTCCTCATCCTCCCCCTTCCTCATCCTCCCCCTTCCTCATCACCTCTCTAAGACAGGTCTTCAGTCCTGCTGCCTGGACCTCCGCAGTGGACTGTCCCCTGACCTCCCAGCCTCTCGCCTTTCTCCCCCAAGCCATTCCTACACTCTGCTCCTAGAGCCATCACCCCCAAACCTGCCACCCATGTCGCCCCCTGCTCAGTGACCTTCCAAGGTCCCCGTTGATTACTCACCAGAGCCACTCAAGCTCCGAGGGGTGGAACTCCAGACTTTCTACCGTCCGGTCCCCACCTCTGTCCTTGTCACACCTGTGCTCCTGCCCGACCTGCCTTCCCATCCTCCCCCCGCATGACCGCCTCTGCCCCTGCTGCTGACCTCCCCTGAAATGATACTCATGGAGCACCTGCCGGGTTCCACCCCCAGGAGGTGAGGACACGGCTGTAGCTTCTGTTCTAATGGAGCATCCAGCCTGACGGGGGCTGGGAAGTGTCTCATGGCCCACTTCGTGGTCAGGATGGAGGGTGGCTTGGAAGTCCTCACAGTGGGACCATCTGGGAGTCAGAAATAGAGAGAGACTCCACAGCCAAGACAGGGAGCAGCGGCGGACAGGCCTGGTCTGTGGAGAGACGGCGACTGCGCCACAAAGTCACGTTAATACACATGAGGGGTGGGAGTTGAGGCCGCAGGTCCATGGCTGGAGGCCGGAACTGGATTCTACTTAATAGAGTTCAATAAAGTGATACCACCTATGAATGGGGACAGAAGAGCTGTCTCAGCCCAGAATCACAAGCGGGAATCCACTCTCTACTTTGGGGTGTTGGCACAAACAGAACCAACTATGAGCAAGCACAGCCCTAAACCTATCCGTGTCCTGCACTATCCTCACGGTGAAGAAACTGACATAGAAACTGGCTGGTATCAGGAATCCCTCATCGTGGACACTGGCAACCATAAAACTACCCTCAGACAGGCCAGACGGCCCCGTCTATGGAGGATGATCCCATTGAATTCAAGCCTGTGCAGTCAAAATTTAAAGCATATTTAAAATGTAGTACTATGATCTGGAAAGCCAGATCATAGACCTAGCAAATAGAACAATTTATATCTGAGTAACTAGAAGAAAAGGGAGCAATCCCCAAAGATCTTCAAAACAAATATGTTTAAAATATTGGAAGATAGGATGGAAGAAATAGAATTTATAAGATAGGAGATTTTAAAAATCCTCTTCAATTAGATAGGAATAAAAATCAAATAGAGACCCTAGAAATAAAAATAATGTAGTCTTTCCAAAAAAAAAAAATGGCCTCCATACCCTAGAGACAGTTAAAGAGAAAATTAGGGAATTGTATGATAGATCTGAGGAAATAAGTCATAATGCAGTGTGGGGAAGAGAAAGAGAAAATGTGAAAAAGAAGTAAAAAGACCTGGAGGATAGGAGGAGAAGCTACGATATAAATTTAGACATTGTGGAAGGAGAATGGAGAATCAAGAGAGGAGGCAAACTTAAGGAAACCAAAGCTGAGAATTTTGGAGAACTGAAGAAAGGTAGGAGACTGCAGACGGCGAGATCAAACCAAGTCCTGAGCAGTATGTAAATCAAACCCACCTCGGAAAATCACCAAGTCCAAAAATAGGAGAAAGGCTCTCTCTTCAAAGTGCCCTCTGATCTAAGTATGGGTTTCCTTAGAGTCCCCCCAGGTTTTAGTACCTCTAGGTCCATGGGGAGTGGGGTGGGAATAGGAACTGCTGCTCCCTGTGATGAAGGCCACCCTTTCCCCCTTCTCCTAGGCCTCTGTCGAACTATGGCCTGACCTAGTCACCAGAGTTGGGGTCCTCACCTTCCTCCATAATAAGTAATCCTCCCCAGATTCAAGACTTCCACTCTCCCCTCCCCATCCTTAGACTTAATTATCTGGAACTGACCAGTCTTTGCTAAATATCCGGCACCTTGAGGGAGTAGCTCATACGATTATTGATATTTTCCCATAATCTATGGCAATATTAATAAGAGAAATGTGCTGATTGACTAATGTAGGCCGGATACTGTGTTGAGTTGTTTGTTCTGTGTACTTTCTAAACCTCATCATGCCTTTGTAAAGTGGGCATTATGCTATTAGTTACTGTTGCATAACACTCTGAAATTCAGGGGCTTAACACAACACGGTCACAGGGTCCCTATGGGGCAGGAATCCAGGAGCAGCTGAGTGGGCTGGTTCTGGCACAGGGTCTCTTGCTGGCTGCAGTGTGGTGTCATCCAGGGCTGCAGTCATGCGTGGGTGGCCGTGCTGGGGACTCCACTTACAAGCTGACTCACAGGAGCTGGAGGCTTTAGCTCCTCCCCAAGCAGGCCTCTCCTTAGTGACAGCCGAGCCGGCTTTCTCCAGAGCTGACCAAGATGGAAATCAGACTTTTCAACCTCATCTGTATCCTATTGGTCACCAAGCTTGTACAAAGTGGGAGGGGGCTACTGAAGGGTGGGAAGACCAGGAGGACATCTTAGAGACAGTTCCCCGTGGACCCTTTGCACACAGAAATCTGAGGCTGAGAGAGGAGTTAACTACAGGGGGTCACGAAGCCAGTAAGTGGAATAATACAGAAATTTTGATCAAATTCTTAGACATACAGGCACAAAGTATGTATTCATTTAATCCTCCCAGTAACTCTAGGAAGGGATAATATTCTCCATTTTACAGATGAGGCAGGAAAGGGTAGCAACAGCCACAAATCCACGTGGTCCACATGGTCCACAGCACCATGCCTCTGCCTTAAGCCTCCTCCGTCTGATCCTGGATTCCCAGGCTCGACACCCTGTGGTGTCCCTCCAGACTGAGTTAGCCCTAAACGTGCCTCCGGTGCGACTGTGCCAACAGCAGGGTGTTCGGTCCCAGCCCCCGCCTCGCTGCTGGGTCTGACTGCCCAATCCGGCCTCATCCAGGTGCGGTGGACCAAGACCGCGGGCAGCGCGTCCGATAAGTTCCAGGAGACGTCAGTGTTCAACGAGACCCTGCGCATAGAGCGCATCGCGCGCACGCAGGGTGGTCGCTACTACTGCAAGGCGGAGAACGGCGTGGGCGTGCCGGCCATCAAGTCCATCCGCGTGGATGTGCAGTGTGAGTACATGTCCTCGGCTCCCTGCGCCCTGGCCGCCCCACCCTGGACCAGGTGGGGAAGGAGACAGGATGGAGAAGTGACACCTCGGTGGGGGGAAATGGTAGAGACTTTCTGTCTTGGGGACTAGAGTTGTTTCTGTTGTCCCTCTGCCCCGTGTGTCCCTGTACCTTTTACACTTGCCCTTCTGTCATCCCATATGAGTTTTGCAACATCCCTGCAAAGTGGGCAGGACAGGTTGAAATTCTACCCCTTCCTCGGCTGAGAAAACTGAGGTACCCAAGCCACGTAATGTGCCACGGGCATAGAGTAGGACAATGTCTATCTGAATGGAGAACCCAGGGGCCTCCCCCGTGATCCGGTGCTCTTCCCACAGTATCTCATGTCTCCGATTCTGCCCCAGGGGCAGCTGAGGCTCCCCAAATACCTCTAAGACCCTGCACCCACCCACACATGACCCAGTCAACAACCCGGGCTGGACATGAGGCTCTTTCAGGCATCTTTTAAAAAAATAATTCCAGAGGTTCTGATAGAAGTGATAAAAAATGTGGCCTGACATCAGGATTAAAAACAACAAGGACAACAACTTATTTAGAGCATTGATCTACATCTAATAGAATGCACTGATCTTAAGCTATCAGTTCAATCCTTTCTTATGTAGCACTTGTATGTGCAAACACTCTCCATCTCAAGATGTAGAGCATTTTCAGGAGCCTAGAAAGTTCCCTCTCCCAGCCAGCAATGCCCCCAGAGGCCATCGCTGTTCTGACACCATCACTGAGCAGGGCCCCGGGGGGGGGGGGGGGGGGGGGGGGGGAGGGCAGGATTAGGAAGAAGCCCATCCTGTGGGTCTGTTGTGCACCAGGGTGGAAAGCCACCAGGCGAGTCAGATTCACCAGTGAGGAAACTGAGGCCCAGAGAGAGGGGACTTTGGCAGGTTTCACGATAAATTCACAGACGAACGGGGAGTCGAACCAGGGTTCCCTAATTTCTGGTCTGTAGCTCCTTCCTCTATCCCATGGTGGGCGGGCATGCGTCTGGACTGTGTCTTGACCCCCATGCTGGTCCCTGAGGAGGAGCAGCTAGGAGGGAGTCTGGGAAGCCATCAGCCCCAGTCTTCTGCCTCTAATTGGTGGGTCAAGCTTAAAGGGCTGGGGGAGCACCTGGCTTTCTGGAAGCATCCTTTGAGCTTCCAGCAAAGGAGCTTCTCAGAGAAAGCTGAGCCGCTCACCTTGGGGACATTCCTTCCTGACTCCGTGGGGACTGTGTGCTGCAGACCTGGATGAGCCAGTGCTGACGGTGCATCAGACCGTGAGTGACGTGCGAGGCAACTTCTACCAGGAGAAGACAGTGTTCCTGCGCTGCACGGTCAACTCCAACCCACCCGCCCGCTTCATCTGGAAGCGGGGCTCAGACACCCTGTCCCACAGCCAGGACAACGGGGTGGACATCTATGAGCCCCTCTACACCCAGGTCAGGAGGGGCAGCTGGCTCAGCCCACACTCCTCCCCCTCAGCCCCCAAGGAGAGTGGATCAGGCCCCCTGATGTGGACTTCTCCGGGTGGCCTGGCCTCCCTAGCTGGCTTCCTGGATTAGAAGCGAGGATGCTGATTGTAGCTCGATGGCCTGGGGCTGGCGGAGTCACAGCAGAAAGGTCAGGGAGCAGCGGTGAGGACAGGGGTCCCTCCAAGGCAACATGCTCTCCAGAAGTGCCAGTTAGAAGGTCCCAGAGGGACAGGCTAGCTCCTTCCTGCTGCCCACTGACAGTATCAGAAACCCATGGTGGGTGTTATAGGCGTTGGGGGCAGGGAGATGTCTCCCAAGGGCCCTCTGGGGTCCCAGGAGGTGGTGCTGAGGCCATCCTGCTAGGGAGGGCTTTTGGAGGTAGCTTTCAGAGCCCTCTGTGTGGCCTGTGGGCCAGCCCCATGTGGGTTGTGAGAGGGAACAGGACACTCGCCCCACCCCTCCATTTCCCAGAATAGGAAAACTGAGGTCCTGGCCAGTGTGTGCCAGCGCAGCCTCAGAGCCAGAGGAGCCGGTGCAGAGGCGTTGCTGGGGGCAGGCAGAGCAGCCCCACCCAGGCTCAGGGTCCCTGGGCTGAGTGTGTGGGTGGGGGCTGGGAAGATGGGGATTTGGAGAGGAATTTGCTGCTGCCTGTGGGCTGGGTCAAGGAGGGTGGGGGTCCCCGGAGAGCCAAGCAGGATCCTCACGCCAGCGGTTCACTGCTGCCCAGGGGGAGACCAAGGTCCTGAAGCTGAAGAACCTGCGGCCCCAGGACTATGCCAGCTACACCTGCCAGGTGTCTGTACGTAACGTGTGTGGCATCCCAGACAAGGCCATCACCTTCCGGCTCACCAACACCACGGGTACAGGCGCTTCCCGGCCCACGCCCCTTGCCCGCCTGGGCCAAGTCCCCAGCCAGGAGACAGTGCCCCCCTCCGCGTCCAGTCCCCCTCCCCTCTGCCTGCTCCCGTCTCCCCTCTCATTACCCGCCCCCGCCCAGGTTTCCCCAGCCCCTTCATCTCATCCTTGTCTAGTCACCCCGGTCCTCTAAGACCCCACCTCCTGTCCCCTTAGCACCGCCAGCCCTCAAGTTGTCTGTGAATGAAACTCTGGTGGTGAACCCTGGGGAGAACGTGACGGTGCAGTGTCTGCTGACAGGCGGGGACCCCCTGCCCCAGCTGCAGTGGTCCCACGGGCCTGGCCCACTGCCCCTGGGTGCTCTGGCCCAGGGTGGCACCCTCAGCATCCCGTCAGCGCAGGCCCGGGACTCGGGCTACTACAACTGCACAGCCACCAACAACGTGGGCAACCCTGCCAAGAAGACCGTCAACCTGCTGGTGCGATGTACGTGGCCTCAGGAGGGGTGGGAGGGAGACTTCGAGGCAGACAGGGCCCCTGTCCTCCAGGAGCTACCAGTGAACTGGGCAAGGGGCCTGGGGCTTCCCCTGGGCAGGTGAGGTGTGTTGAGGAGGCACTTCCCAAGGGCTTCGATTTCCCTGCAATTCAGTCATCTGCCAGCAGATGGCAGAAGGACTAACATTTGTCCTTTAGTTAGAATATACATGCGTTTGCCAGATACAATCTCAGCAATCCAAGAAGGTGCATGGGCTGGTATTGATCACCTACAGTTTGTTTGTTTAGATTGGTGTGTGGATGCTGCAAAAAGCTAACTGTGGACACTCCAGAAATTTCCTGGCTTCCTCCCTTTACAGTGGTTTCTACATGATTAATTGGATTTAAGTGAAAATAACACATTTCCATATGCTTTATATGCAAATCCTAATAGCAAATCATTTCTGTGACTCTGAAGATAATTACTGAGGGTGAAAATGATACAAAAATTGGAGCGTGGTATAAGGAAGCCCAGACCTTTCCTCCCTAACCCTCGGCCTCAGTAGTTCCACCAATGACTGTTCACCATGGTCTCGCTTTTGCTATTCTGCTTTAAGGAGAAACTTCAAATTCTTCTACTTGTACAGCTTTAGGTGGTTTTGTTTTTAAGATCCAGGCTTATTCCTGGCTCATTTTTTTTTTGGTGGGTGCCAGGGATTGAACTCAGGGGCACTCGACCACTAGGCCACATCCCCAGCCTTATTTTGTATTTTCTTTAGAGACAGGGTCTCACTGAGTTGCTTAGCACCTTGCTCTTGCTGAGGCTGGCTTTGAACTTGCAATCCTCCTGCCTCAGCCTCCTATGCTGAGGATTACAGGGATTACAGGCGTGGGCCACCTCGCCTGGCCTCATTCTTAGCTCTTTAGCCAAAGTACAACTGCTACCAAATTTCGTTGAGAGTCTGATGACATGGGCTCTGTTCGTGTGTCACTGACCAGTTAGTTTTTTCCGATTCTCCTCACAGAAAGAAGTTAGCTCTCTCTGGACTTACACTTAGTCAGATTGAGAAAGAAATAGGTGGATGTGGTAGCATGTGCCTGTAATCCTAACGACTAAGGAGGCTGAGGCAGGAGGATCACAAGTTCAAGGCCAGCCTCAGCAATTTAGTGAAACCCGTCTCCCAAACAACAACAACAATAACAAAAAGTAGTGGCTGATGACTACTTTTTCCTTTGACAGAACTTTTCCTATCAGAAGATTATTTTCCTCCACCTGATTCCATTTGGACTTTAAAACCTGAGTTGATGAGATCTCAATTTACATTGGCACTATGATCGCCTCTCAGGGTGACTCCGTTGCTTGTTTTCCCCGGGCCAGTCCTGAATTGTGGCTGTTGTACTAGCGTCCTTTCCAATTAACACCCAACCTATTAAGAACTCCAGCTCTTGGCTTCAAACAAGATTCACATTTTTAAAAGGCCAGACTCTTTTCTTTCTAACTCTGTATTTTAATGTAATTGCATGGAAGATGATTGTTTTGGTCTTTTATTATAAAATCACACAGAGTTGTTGCAAAGAGTCAACCAGCACAAAAGGGAAAAAATGTACAAATTAATTGCCCTTCCATTTCCCTAAGTTCTACTCTTTAGATGGAAACACGAGTACAAGGTGCCCTCTTCCAGGTTGGGATTTTGCATATTCAAGACTTAATACAAAACTAGCTGGGTGTGGTGCACGCTTGGAATCCCAGCATTCGGGAGGCCGAGGCAGGAGGATCTCAAGTTCAAAGCCAGCCTCAGCAACTTAGCGAGGCCCTGAGCAACTCAGTAAGACCCTGTTCCTAAATAAAATACAAAAAGGGCTGGGGATGTGGCTCAGTGGTCAAGTATTCCTGAGGTCAATCCCTAGTACCCCAAAATAAAACAATTAAAAAAAAAACAGAGAGAAAAGGATTTAATGCAAAATTAAAAATACAGCAGTGTAGTGGTCCAGTTAGCTAAACTGCCTAAACCCCATCTTTGTGAAATGGGGACAATAAAGCAGCCCCCACAAGACTGTGAGATGGGTTGAATGAGTGAACCCCTATGAAGTGCCTAGGACAGTGCCCCTCGCTGGGAGCGCGTCCATTGGCAGTGGCTGTGGGGTTGCCAGACTCGCTGTCCTGCAGGGAGCTTTATGGACTTTTGGAAGCCATCGAGTGAGCAGAATAGCTTCCAAGCAGAGAAAAGCGATGGCCTCTCCTGGGGGTGGGTTGCAGCCCCCAACCTCCATGAGGACCTGTTTCGGGGGAGGCCGGGTTGGGTGGGGCTGGGACCCCGGCTCTGGGCCAGGCCCCGTCACCCTTCCCTCCCGCCCCCCTGCAGCCATGAAGAATGCCACCTTCCAGATCACCCCCGACGTGATCAAGGAGAGCGAGAACATCCAGCTGGGACAGGACCTGAAGCTGTCCTGCCACGTGGATGCAGTGCCCCAGGAGAAGGTGACCTACCAGTGGTTCAAGAATGGCAAGCCAGCACGCATGTCCAAGAGGCTGCTGGTGACCCGCAATGACCCCGAGTTGCCTGCCGTCACCAGCAGCCTGGAGCTCATCGACCTGCACTTCAGCGACTACGGCACCTACCTGTGCATGGCTTCCTTCCCAGGGGCGCCGGTGCCCGACCTCAGCGTTGAGGTCAACATCTCCTCCGAGACAGGTGGGCAGCTGGAGGGGCATCGGGGAGATGTGGGGGAGCCGGAGAGGCCCAGGATGGGGAGGTGGGGGCTGTAGCTTGGGAAAGTGAGCCGAGTGCCATCTGTTCACGCTGCACACTTTATGGAGTCCCTGTTATATGCCAGGCACTGGGCTAGGCCCTGGAGTACAGTGGTGGGAGAAACAGGCTCTGTCCTCATTGAGCTTCGTAGGAAGGCAAACATTTTTTCAGATAGCCTCATAAATAAATAGATTATTGAGAACTGTGATACAGGAGAGTCTAGGGAGTTTCCTGGGATGGGATATTTGAGAGAGGGTCAGGATTTTACTAGGCAAAGGACAGCAAGGGAAGTTTAGAAAACAGCAATGCCAGCCCCAAGGAATCAGCATGTGCAAAGGCACTGAGGCATCTGGAGAACTGAAGGGAGGGGGTGTGTGGCTGGGAGAATGGAGTGAGATGAACTGGGAGAGGTCAGCCAGGTTAGATTATGTCCAGTCTTGTAGCTGGGTTAGCTTGCTTAGGTTGCCATAGCACAGTACCATAGATGGCAGCTTCAGTAGCTGAAATGTGTTTCTCATGGTTCTAGAGGATAAGTCTGAGATCAAGGTATCAGCAGGGCTGGATTCCTCTGAGGCTTCTCTTCTTGGCTTGTAGATGGCCACCATCTCCCTGTGTCTTCACAGGGTCTTCCTTCTGTGCATGTCTATGTCCTAATGTTGGACACTAGTCCTGGATGTGGGAGCACCCTTCTGACTTCATGTAACTAGGATTACTTCTCTTGTCCCCCTCCCAAGTATATACACATTCTGAGGCAGTACTGGTTTTTTTGACTTTAACAGATAAATTTGGTAGGGGGAGCACAATTCAGCTCATAACAGGTCATGGGAAGGATTTGGGTCTTTACTGCTAGAACAACAATAATGAATAATAATTAAATGAAAATGGCTAACATTTACTCTTTACTGTGTGTTCTGATGATTTTATGTTTTTCTTGTTCACTTTGTGATTTACCTAGTGGTCTAATCTCTCAGTAGTAGTTTATCTTATCATTTTTACAGTTGGAGAAACTTAGGCTCAGAAAGTTTGAGAAACTTAGCTAAGGTTTTACTACAGTCAGTGGTGCAGTGGGCAGAGCCAGGCAGCCTGGCTTCAGGGCCTCCCCTCAGGCCCCACTGCAGGGTCTGCACTGAGAACAACAGGCTGTTGGAAGGGAGCTCTTGAGACCCCCCAAGAATGCCTCTATCCCAGGCACCTTGTATGGGGGAGCAGGCTGGCTTTGGGCAGCTATTCACGTGATCCTGGAGAGGTCAGGAAAGGCTTCTCCTCCAGAATCCCACAGATGCCGCAGATCCAATGCACGTACTCTGTGCTAGGTCTCCTTGAGAAGCTGGGGATCCAGAAGTGAATGTCACAGCTCCTTCCTCGGAGCTCTCTGCCTGGCCAAGGGGGGATAGGCATGTTGGGGAGGCAGTTAGCAAGGCAGGAAATGACAGGGAAAAGTCTGGAATTGAGACGTGGAGGTGAAGGAGGTGTCTTGGGTCAATCTGGTGGCACTGAGAAGCTGTACCAGGCTGCCTGGGGAAGTCAGAGAAAGCTTCTCAGAGGAGGGGTCCTCCCTGTGAGCCTTGGAAGATATGTTGGGATTTGCCAGGCAGAGGGACAAGCCCAGACAGAATGGGGGTGTTCCCCAACTGCAGGAGATTTGCCGTGTCCGGGGAGTGTTTCTTACAAGTGAATCCTGCACGTGGGATATAAGATGAAAGACGGGAGATGAGGCGGGGCAGCAGGGGCTGGAGCCTAGGCCTTGTTTGCAGCGCTGAGGTGTTTGAGCTCTAAGGTGGCTGCCCGGACAGGGAGAGCAGGTCTTTAGCCCGTGGGGATGGAGAGGGTTGGGAGCTGGGATGTTTTACAAGTAAGCAAGGGGCCCAGGGCTGTTTCTCCATTGGCTTATAGATCTGGTGCCTAGGGCATGGCAGATTTTTAAGAGTCCTTGGAAATGATTTAGACCTAGAAAAATAAATGAACTGGCTTCAAAATACAAAGAGAAAAACTGCAAAAATAAAGGCAATAAATGTCTCAATGTTTATAAGATATAAATGATGTTTATAGATATCCGGACCTTAGCTTGCCTGGTAGAGTTATTTACAAATAATAATTTGCCATTTAATTCTATTTAATGTTAAATACTTAAATTTTCATGATAAAATGCATGGGTGCATTTTAATTTGTTTGATGTGGTTTATGGGATGGGACCCAGGGAAGTCTTCAAAAGACTCTTCATTTGTGCCATGTGTTGGTTTGGATTAGATTCAGCTGTGAATAACAGAATTCTAATTAATGGTGGCTTAGGGGCTTTGGGGTAGCTCAGTGCTAGAACCTTGCCCAGCCCACTCAGGCTCTGGGTTTGATCCCCAGCAGCACCACCACCACTACCAAAAAAAAAGGTGCCCTGGACAATGCAGGTGTGCATTGATTCTTCAGGCAGATATCTGCTGTGGAGCAGTGTGCCCTTGTGCAGGGCCCCGGGTTCCATCTACCTTGCTGTTCCATCATCCTTAGCATGGGTCACCTTGTCTGGAATGGCACAGTCCCTTCTTTTTAAAAAGACCTTTATTTTTCCTCATCATCCATTGGCCAGAATTAATTTATGTGGCCACAACTACTCATGGCTGTGCGCCCTGCTAAAAGCATTTATTACTCTGGAAGAAAAGGTAGGGTTGTCGGGGGACTAGAGGCTGTAATAATACTCCAGAAGAGAAAAGATAAAGGTTTTAACTGAGGCAGGGCCAGGGTTAGGAGAGAGGGACTTGAGAGAGGAGAGATTTAGAAATGCACAAAAGGTGGAATCCCCAGTGCTTAGTTGTGTTGGAGAAGAAGAAACAGGCCAGGCGGACTCCAGGTCTCTTGGAATAGGGGGACCCTGATGTAGCCATGTAGGAAGGAGGTGGTACTGTCAGGGAGGGTGGGTTTGGCTTTGGGGATTCTGATGGTCCCAGGGGAATCTGGGGTAGGGGAAGGAAGCACCTAAGAGGGAGGAGAGCCGGAGGCTTGGGCCGAGCCCTAATTTCCTGCCTGCTGTCGCCTGCTCCTCCTGCAGTGCCGCCCACCATCAGCGTGCCCAAGGGCAGGGCGGTGGTGACCGTGCGCGAGGGCTCCCCCGCGGAGCTCCAATGCGAGGTGCGAGGCAAGCCCCGGCCGCCCGTGCTCTGGTCCCGCGTGGACAAGGAGGCTGCCCTGCTGCCCTCGGGGCTGCCCCTGGAGGAGACCGCCGATGGGAAGCTGCGGCTGGAGCGCGTGAGCCGAGACATGAGCGGGACCTACCGCTGCCAGACGGCTCGCTACAATGGCTTCAACGTGCGCCCTCGCGAGGCCCAGGTGCAGCTGAACGTGCAGTGTGAGTCTCCCCCACCCACCAGACTACCTGGCCCTTCTCCACCATCACCCCCCCAGCCCAACCAAACCCCTCCACTACTGCCCGCCTCAAATCTCCTTGACCTGGGATCTGTGTCCCTTGCCGCAATTCCCCTTCAAATGTCTCATCCTCATTTTCAGTGACCTGTGAACATAGAAATAACTTGATTTTTGACAGATCAAAATGGGGTTTTAAAGGAGGAGGACGGATCCTCAAGGGGAACGCAGTATGATAACAAAACGGTGAAAACTCACTAATGCCCAACATTAACCGGTTTAACCCCCACAGTCCTATGACTAGATCCTATTATGCCTCCCTTTTCACAAATAGGGGACCCGAGGCACAGAGAAGTCAAGTGACTTGTCTAAATTCTCACAGCTAGATGACAGCAGGGCTGAGACTTGAACCTAGCCATCTGGCTCTAGAGATAGTGCCCTAAACCCCGACATTACATGGGGTGTGATGGTGAGGGCCCCACTTAAGGCACAACTAGAGGTCCACCTGGGCAGCGCGGCTGGACGGAACGGGCAGGAGGGAGTGAGTATCCGCGGGCCAGGGAGGTATGAGCGTGGCTCTTGTATGACCGTGTGGTGAGTTCGAATCCTCCATGAGGTCCTTCGGGGCAGAGAGGGTCACAGGACTAGGAGGGAGTGCGTCGCCTCCCCTCGGGGCCGCTGCTCAGTCCCCACTCGGTGGGGAGAAGCCCAGCTAACTGCTGTCCCCACCGCCGCCCCCAGTCCCCCCGGAGGTGGAGCCTAGTTCCCAGGATGTGCGCCAGGCACTGGGCCGACCCGTGCTCCTGCGCTGCTCGCTACTTCGAGGCAGCCCCCAGCGCATCGCCTCGGCCGTGTGGCGCTTCAAAGGGCAGCTGCTGCCGCCGCCGGCCGTGCTCCCCGCCGCCGCGGAGGCCCCGGACCACGCCGAGCTGCGCCTTGATGCCGTAACCCGTGAAAGCAGCGGCAGCTACGAGTGCAGCGTCTCCAACGACGTGGGTTCGGCGGCCTGCCTCTTCCAGGTCTCGGGTGAGCATCCCGTCGGCCCCACCCCGCCCACACCCTCACCGACCTGGGGCAAGGCCCCTTCCCCGTCTCGGACCCTGCCATCCCTGACTGGGCCGGTTCCTCTAAAGTCCGCCTGCACCAGTCATGAATCCAAGCTTTTCCAAGACCCGCCCAAGCCAGGTGCAGAGCCCGCCTGATGCCACCCAGACCCAATTTTTGAGGTCCTCTTACAGCGCTGCCCACTCCAGACAGCGAGCTAGGTCCCCTCCACTCACGCCCTCTCTAGATCTAGGCCTTCTGCTTTCAAGGGCCACTCATACCTGTCCTAAGCCCCGCCCACTATAGCTTAGTCCCTCTTCTTGGCCTCTTACAGCCACGCCGCTTTCAAACCCAGCTTTCACCAAGCTTAGGCTCTTGGGGTTAAAGACCCACCTGCGCAGCGTCTAGGCCCCACCTACATGACGCATAGGCTCCACCCCCTATAGCCTTGTCCAATCCCAGCTCTGTGCTTCCAGCCTATAGCCCCGCCCACACTCAATCCTGGGCCCTTGCCATCATGGTTCTCACTCCTCCTTGGCCCCAGAGCCGGCAGATGGACCTGACTGTAAAGTAGAGGGGAGAAAACGCTCCTCAGCAGCTTCTCTGGAGTGTCAGGGCTGGAGCTGGGTCTGACAGCACACATCCCTTGAGCGGTCACTCTAAGGGTACAGGCCATTTGGTGCCCAGAAATTCCCGTCAGCTCCAACTCTACACCAAGGCATTCCCTGGCGGTGGAAGGTCAGAAAGGCACGGAGGTCATGGAGAAAGTCCAGGGGGACAAAGAGGCGCTGCTTGGTTTGCCACTAACCCCTCCTTTCTCCTTCATTGGGAAGTGCCGCCTTCCTGCCTGGGCCTCTGGGCCCTGGAGGAGAGTTGCAGGCCACCCGTCCTCCATTCCACCGCATTCAGTTTTTCCAACAGCCCCTAAATGCCTGGGTGTTCCTTCAACTCTTGTTCTGGTCCCCCCACTTGACAGCCGGGGGCTAGGCCTGCAGGCCGCTGGCCACCTTCCCAGCCCCTTCCCCACCCACTCAGCCCTGCTAGTCAGAGGCCCCTGTGACATTTCCCACCTCCTTTCCTTCTCCCCTGTTCTCCCACACTCTCCCTGGCTCCCCACCTTTTGGCCTGTATCCATTTCCTCTCTTCCTTTCCTCTCAATATCCCTGACCCTTCTTTGTGTCTTTCCCCCAATTCTCCCTAATATCCCTTCCCTGTTTCCAAATTTCCAAATTTCCCCTTTCCCTTTTTCTTCCATGACCTTTCCTCTTTGTTCTCACTAATCTCATCTCTTGGGACCTGCAATCTCCCTTCTCTCCATCTCCACCGCCCCTCCTCCCCACCCTCATCCTCCCTTTCTCCTCTTCTTCCAACATCACCTCTCCTCACATGGCTTCCTTTCTCTTTGTCTCCCTCCCATGTTCCCCCTCCTGTCTCCCTTTCCCACGCCTCCTTTCTCTGTCTCTCCCATCCCCCACCCTTCCATGGCCCCGTGCCCCCCTCCCTGCCCTCTCAGCCAAAGCCTACAGCCCGGAGTTTTACTTCGACACCCCCAACCCCACCCGCAGCCACAAGCTGTCCAAGAACTACTCCTACGTACTGCAGTGGACGCAGAGGGAGCCGGACGCTGTGGACCCTGTGCTCAACTACAGACTCAGTGTCCGCCAGGTGGGCCAAGGGGGAGCAGGGCCCTGAAGCAGGTGGGGAGTGGTGTGACTGGTCCTGGAAATGTTCCTCAAGGACAGAGGAAGGGTCTGGAGACAGGGACTCGGAAGCTTTGACCCTCTTATAAAAAAGTCTTCAGAGGCAGAGAAAAAGTGTTCTAGAAGTAGCAACAGGAACTGGAAACCTTTGGGCACCTATCTTCCCTGGGCACAGACCTGAGAGGTGGGCAAGAGATAGCTGGGTTCATGGGGGGCCAGCATGGGGGGCCTGTGAGCAGGACATAGAATCTACTCGTGCGTGTGGAGGCTGGAGCGGGGCCTCTGCGATGCAGGCAGAGTCTGCGTGCGCTGTCCTGTCTGCCCTAATTCCATGTGGTTCTCCCAGCCGGGAGGCAGGGGTGTGGAGGGTCAGAGTGTGGCTCTGGGGGACACTGCTGAGGCTAGAGTTCAGCTTCGTATGAGCTTGGGCCAGCTTATGTCTTGTTTCACTTACTGATCTTAAAATGGAGGTTAGTTTAATATTCTATCTCATTTGAGGATTCAATGAGTCCATTATGGCAAAGCATTTAGAACTGTGTCCAACCCACACTAACTGTTCCATACCTGGCAGCCCTGGGTAGAGAACCTGCAAGGGGCAACTGTCCCTTCTAATAGATGAGGAAACCAAGGGCCCAATGTCCTAGGCCTTTATTCTTTCTGCTTTCCCAAGCGCCAGCCCCCAACTCCCACCAGGTCACCCCAGGCTCTAGGCTGGTGCTCCAGTGGAGGGCGTGGCCTGCCGGGCATCTGGGAACTCCCTGTATCTACAGTTGAACCAGCACAATGCCATGGTCAAGGCCATCCCTGTGCGGCGTGTGGAGAAGGGGCAGCTGCTGGAATATCTCCTGACTGATCTCCGTGTGCCCCACAGCTATGAAGTCCGCCTCACGCCCTATACCACCTTTGGGGCTGGTGACATGGCTTCCCGCATCATCCACTACACAGAGCGTAGGTGACGGTGGTAGGGGGTGGGGAAGGGTGGGCCCAGCTCCTGTCCAGGGGCTCCCTCTACTCTCCCTGTGTAGTTCCTGAACTCGGAGCTCCCCACTGTGTGCTCTCTTACCCTGTCACTGTAGGCCAGGCTTGCTGGTCCCCAGTCCTGGCTCTGAGGACCTGTTCCCTCACCCCAAGCCCCAGCATCCTCTGCACAGCCCCACACTTGGTTTTGACCTGGTTTCCTTGCTTGCTTTCTCAGCCATCAACTCTCCGAACCTTTCAGGTAAGACCTCTGCACCCCATGTCGTCCGCTTCCCTTTAGGGACACAAAGGCTCTCCTGGTAGTGGGAGGGATTTTGAGAGATACACAGAAAGTGACTTCTCCCTGTCATGGGGTCAGGGCCAGCCACCTGAGGCCTGGGATGGAGCCGTTTGCATCCAGGATATATTCTGGGGCTTAAAAGCTGGTTGTTATTAGTGGTGGGGTGTCCACTGTCCCCAAAGGGAAAAAGAAGGCAGGTTAATCCATACCCTCTGTTCCCTGGAGCAGGGCTCCCTAATCTGTGACCCACGAGCCCCCAAGAGATCTGTGCATAGAATTCAAGGGATACATGAACCTGGGGAGGGGCATATAGTTATTTCCCTAACTTCTAGAAGATTTCAACATTCCCTTCAATAATGAATACGCAACAAACCACAGGCAACAAATCAGGACCCGTGATTTTGTCATCAGTGGAAATCCAGTGTTTTCCCATCATCTGACAGTTGTTGCAGACAGCTCTAAATATCATTTACATTCATTAGTATTTCAAAACTATAGTCATGATTAGATCTAACATGAGATTTTGTGATTTAATTAGACAATAAAGCAGCCCAGTTATTACATAACAGATTATAAAAATATCTTGACAACTTTACTTCAATATAATTGATTTCCTTTGTAATTCTGTACATTTCATTTAATGTGTCTAAGATCGTTATTCTGAGACGGGATCCTTAAGCTTCACTGCATGTTGAAAGGGTCTGGGGCACAAAGCCTTGCTCTGGGAACAAGTGTGTCCTGGGCCCCGTGGCCGGGTCTCTTGGGCCCTGAGATCTTGGGCCTATTGCTTAGATCCGTGGGAGCTGCCTCAGGTGGCGGTGGAGGCCGAGGCTGAGCCTCTTCCTCTCTGCGGCTCCTCATGCCCTAATGCAGATAACACCTGCCACTTCGAGGACGAGAAGATCTGTGGCTACACCCAGGACCTGACAGACAACTTCGACTGGACGCGGCAGAACGCTCTCACCCAGAACCCCAAGCGCTCCCCCAATACTGGCCCCCCCACTGACATCAGTGGCACCCCTGAGGGTAAGGCCATTACCTGTGGCTAGGAATGGCAGGGAAGGGGCTAGGCCCATGCAGCCCTGTTCTGAGGGTGGAGGACCACAAGTCCTGGCCTCAGGGATCCCCTGTCTGAGAAGGCACAGCCCTGTCCTCAGAGGGAGGACAGAACTCCATCCTGACTGAGGATCAGGAAAAAGAGACATTAGCAATGGCGTTCAGAACGCACAGCCTCTGACCAGAGCCCTGGGCTGCACTGTGAGGGCTGTGGGGAGGGCAGGGTGAGGTCAGGAGGTTGTGGGGGGGGGGTGGCGAGGAGGAGCCTGGTGGCACATCTCCCCCTCCCTGCAGGCTACTACATGTTCATTGAGACGTCGAGACCCCGGGAGCTGGGGGACCGTGCGAGGCTGGTGAGTCCCCTCTACAATGCCAGTGCCAAGTTCTACTGCGTGTCTTTCTTCTACCACATGTACGGGAAGCACATCGGTGAGTCTGGGACGGGGAGTCTGCCCGAGAGCATGCTGGGTGGAGGGAAGAGGGGCCACAGGAGGTCGGGGGCTGGCCCACGCAAGGCCCGAGCTTCCCCACTTGGCTAAACCACAGGTCCTTGAAGGGACCTGGCAGAAGATTGGCCAGGGGAGAAGACAACCTCAGCTGTCTGAGGTTTTGAGATGATCACAGCTTCCTGAGTGCAAATAAAAAGGGTCTAACAGGAGGAGGTGGAAGTTGTGCAGGGGATGGAGGAACAACCGCGCATTGGCATATACTGCGGGCCTGCCAGATGCCAGGGATGTCCGTACAACTCAGAGAAGTTAAGCATTTGCCCAGGACCACACGGCACAGCCCCCCATGTGGGACTGACTTCCCCAAGTCCTAAACTTGGGATTGGAAGGGTGCTTCTTTATGAGACCTGAGAGGAAGTCTTGCTTCCTGAGTGTGAGAGTAAACTTAAGGAACGCTGTTCGGGAAGAGATGGCATTAATAGGGGTGTCACTTTAATCCATGAGCTCATCAGTTCAGCCAATGCTGGCTCTGTGGGTATCAGGTGCTACCGGGCAGGAGATGGATGAGTTTCCTGTCTTCTTGTCACCTACAGCCCAGGGGGAGAGAGAGAGAGAGACTGACATCAAACAACTAATGGCATCAGAGAGAAGTTAGGGACCACCGTTGCAGTGGACCCAGTGGGGCCAATTCAGCTTGGTCACAGGGACACCTGACCCATCTTGGGGCTTGGCCCTTAGAGGTTCTGCTGAGGAAATGATGATTGTTAAAATTTTGTTTAGGTCTGGGAAAGGGCATGTATTTCCCCCAGTTCAAACGATTCAAAAAGGGTACATAATGAAGATGTCCCTCCCAGTCCTCTGCCACCCAGAGCCCTTCCCCAGAGACAATCATTATGCCTTAAGAAGGCAGCATGCGCGCACACACACACATACACACACACACCCCTTCCCCTTCTGTGCACTGCCCTGTGCTCACCTGCTCTTGGTGATCACTCTTTATCAGTCCACAGAGAGCTTCTAGTCGTTTTCCTCTGCTCTTAGTAGAGGAATGACTTTGAGCAAGCATAGACCTCCAGGGTGGAGCCATGGGTCAAGGGGGGCTGATGAAGCAGAATGGGTGGGGTGGGAGGTTCTGCACTCACAGGGGGCCCCGGGTCACCCACACAAACCAGTTTGCCCACGGATGAGTGTGAACTTTGGGGGAAGTTTTCTCTGGAGTAGTGAGGTGGGGGACCAGGATGGCTCAGCCCTGCCTGCCCACCCCTCTGGTCTCCATTCGGCTTCCCCAGTTAGAGGTGCCAGTTCATTCTGGCTTGCCCCGGCCCCTCCCAGTTCCATCCTCACATCCCCTCTGTGTCGGGTCTATTGGGACACTTGGTCACTGTCCACTCAGGAGGGGCAGACCAGCACCAGGAGGAGTGTGTTTGGTCCAGTAAGGGTCTGGAGGATCTGGTCTTATGAACAGGGAGACAGAAAGCCTGAAGGGACAGTCTGTGTGACAGACAGATCTTGCTAAAGCTTCCAAGAGGCAGATTTGAGTCCCACCAAAGGAGGACCTTAGAAGCATCCACTCTGCCCAGCCAAGGAGTGTGCTCTCTTGGGGAGATGCTGCTGTCTTGAGCAGCCGGTCCCTGGACAGGAGAGCTGTCCTGAAGGGATGCTGTGGAGGGGACTGCTGTCCTAAATCACGTTACTCCCTGCTCAGGGCCCTCTGAAACTTCCCCACATCTTCTCCAGATCTTCCACGGCTGCTCCAGCCCCTGCCTGCTCCTCTGACCTTATTTGCTGCACTTGGCTCTGGCACAGGGGGCTCCCTGCTTTTCTTTACAAACTTGAGGCACCTTCCTGGTTTGGAGGCCTTTGCTCGTGATGCCCCACCCCCGAGTCTGCAACACTGTTCCCTCCCTTCACTCGGGTGTCCTCAAAGAGGTCCTGGACTGTCCCACCTAAAAGAGCTCTCCTTTTCCCTATGTTATTTCCCTGTTTACCATCAGGAGAACATGAGGTCCACGAAAGCAGGGATCTTTGTCTTGTTCTAGTGCCTGGAACATTCTCTGGCACATGCAAGTGCTCAGTGAGTTAAATGAATGAATGAATGACAGTGAGGCTGGGGCTTGGTGAGACCCCGGGTGACTTCCAACCCTGAGATCCTATGAAAACCCTGATGACAGTCATGGAAGTTCTTCATTCAACATTTAATTACTGAGCACTGATAGGCATTTGGCCCCGACCACATTCCCTCAAGGACTTGGATAGGGAAGAGGCCCTGGCTCCCCAGGATTGCCATCTCACAGAGTGGACAGTGGCCTGCGTGGGGAGCCGTGGCTGATGGACTCAGGGTTTATGGGTAGGATCGTAGGCTCCCAGCTGAAGCCTAGGAAGACTTCCTGGAGGAAGAGGCATTTCAGAGACATCTTGCAGACAGATCAAGAAGGATTTGGTCAGGGGGACCTGGTGGGGGAGGGCATCTTAAGCAGAGGGAAAGGCCGGGATGGGCAAGCCAGAGTGTACCCTGACTCAGCATGTTATGACTCTGGAGGTGGCGAGGAAGACAGGGAGGAAGGTATGAGCAATTCACTCGTAAGAGAGGTGGAGGGTCTTGGGCTCTGGCTGACCCCTGTGAGGGGATGTCAGGAAGCCCCTGCACAGAGCAGACCTTGTTCCTGATGGAGCGCACAGAGAAGGGGACAGAAATTTGTTTTGTTTTGTTTTGTTTTTTTGTTTAAGCAGTGAAAAAGCAGCCTTCCCCTTCAGGTCCCTGGGTGCCCGTGGTGGAGGAGGAAGGAACCAGGGGGTGGGGACAGATGTCTAAGCAGGGAAGACGGAGTGGTCCCTTTGGGGCTAGTAAGGACCCTAAAGGACATTGGGCCTTGAGTCCTGCCAATGTCAGCATGACACCCGTTTTGCTGGGTGCTCCTCGGGCCTGACTCTCCTGCTGGGGAGGGGTGTTTCTCACTGTCTTGGTCTCTCCCCTCCCCGCCCCCCTTCCATAGTGCCTGGCAGCTCTGGGCACCAGCTGTCCCCAGACCTTGTGTCTCGCCGGCACTCCTTGGTCCCAGCCAACTCTTTTCAATCCAGGCAGGTAACATTTGGTGGCTCCCCCCACTGGGGGGTAGGTCTATCTGGTGTCACAGATGGTGTGGCTTTGTCTGTGGGTAGTGCCATGGAAATGCCAGCCACCAGGCGCCATCTAAGATTGATTCCTCTTCCCTTGGAGCCAGGTCTTTCATGTCACTGGGGGCTCGAGGTGGGCTACAAAGAGACGGGAGAGGACATTGGCATTGCCTGAGTGCTCTGAGCCCAGCCGTGACCCCTCCTTCTCTCTAGCGCCCCTCAGCACCCCTAGGATTGCAGATCCCTGAGACTGTGGGCAGATGGCTCAGCGCCTCCCAGCTAATGCCTCCGAGATCTCACTCTCAGTTATCACTATGAAGCGTGGGACCTAATATTTTTCTTTAGATCAATGTTTGCTTTAAACCTTTGCTCCAAGCAGGCGTCAGCATTAGAGAAGTCATGGTTTGGAAGGGCCACCTTTATTCACCATGTACAAATATTTTTAAATCAGTATTAAAAAGTTTAAGTGCCCTGCTCCATGTTCAGAATCGCGTATGGCTGTGGTGTGCGACTGTGCTGTTGGGAAGGTCTGCTCTGTGCTAAGACAGAGGTCCCGCTGCCCGGGACCGCTCCTGTCTAGAGGGGACGGGTGGTGTGTGTGGTCAGGTTGGTTGATTGACAGGGAAGGAGAGATACGAACTGCCACCGTCCTCTCTTCTGGCTGTGGTCCCCTGCTCACCATGGCAATGACAAGTTGCACCAGGTGTGGGGACAGGGAGAAGGTCCCATCCCTCAGGGGCAGCCGTGTGGGTGGCTTGGTGAGTGCAGGCAGGTAAGGATGTCATTGCTGACCCCACTGACCCCCGCTCTTGTCACCCGCCACAGGCTCCCTCAACCTCCTTGTGAGATCCCGGAACAAAGGGGCTCTGGACACACACGCCTGGTCCCTCAGTGGCAATAAGGGCAACGTGTGGCAGCAGGCACATGTGCCCATCAACCCCAGTGGGCCCTTCCAGGTGAGTCCATGGGGCCCAGAGGCTCTCCCAGGCTTGGGGTCGCCTGGACAGGAAGCACTCAGGTTGTCCTGGTGCTCGGTCCCGGGGCTCCAAGGAGGAAAGCAGGCAGGCTGTGGGGCTCCCCTTGAGGGGAAGGGGTCGGGCGGGGGTCCCTGGGGCCTAGAAGATCCCCATCTCCTGTTCTCTGCTCTCTAATCCCCCCAGATTATTTTTGAGGGGGTTCGAGGCTCCGGCTACCTGGGGGATATTGCCATAGACGATGTCACACTGAAGAAAGGAGAGTGTCCCCAGAAGCAAATGGATCCCAATAAAGGTGCATGATGGGAAGGGGGCGGGGGAGCCGAGGCTGTGGGTGCCGTCGGGGGGGCATCCATCTGCTGGGGGAGGGTGTTGGTCTGAATGGAGCTCAGTGTGCCGGTGTGCAGGTGCACCCATCTTGGCCCCCCCCTGACTTGGGCTGGAAGCCCTGGGTCCTGCCCTCCTTGGAACTTACTGAATTCCTTACTGTACCTCCGGTGCCTGGGTCTGAGCCCCAGAGTACTGTGGCTCCAGGTGTGACCTGTGCCTTCTGGGGGCCAGGTGTTGCCAATTCTAACAGTTCCAGTTGATTGAGGGATTACTATGTACCAGGCGAGGTACAGAAACCCATATGTGCATGTTCCACTTAAACCTCACAGCCACACTTGAACTTGGAGGCCCATTTTACAGATAAGGAAACTGAGGCCCACTGAGGTGTGGTAAATTGCTCTGTGTCTTAGTGAGCATGAGCCCCCAAGCTGTGCACCCTTGAGCCATGCCACCTCACATCTGCATTGAGTGCCCACCCTCAAGGGCCTCCAAAGAGATGGGGCAGGGCTGTGGCGCCCTCCCTCAGCCAGCCTGTCTCCTCTCCTGCCCTTGCTGGAGCTGACGGAAGCTCCTGGCCTGTCTCCTCTGTCTCCTGTCACAGTGGTGGTGATGCCGGGCAGCAGAGCTCCCTACCGGTCCAGCCCACAGCTCTGGGGGCCCGTGGTCATCTTCCTGTTGGCGATGCAGAGATGATGAGAGCTGCGTGGCCCCCCACCCCGCCCCCGGCACACCAAAGTGTCCACATCGTACCAAAGACTGACCCCCGCCCGCCGGGGTGCCCAGGGGCAGGGCCGGCTCGCCAGGGAGGGGGCCTGCGTTGGCTGCGAGGACGAACAGAAAACAAGGACCTGAAGCCCGGCGCTGAGGCCCTGGAGACGGCTGTTCGACACACGCACACACTCACCCGTTCACACTCACACACAGAGATCTATTAAAGCACAAGTTTCTATCAGACCTGCCAGCACCTTCTCTATGTGGAGACAGGGGACTTGCCCAAATGGCGTCCGCCACCCCAGGGACCGTGGCGCGACGCTGGCCTTGTCCTGGCTGCACTTGTGGTGTATTTCTGACCCTCCCTGCTGTCCCCCAACTCAAGGCCAGACTCCAACCTGGTGGCTTTGCCAGAAGAGTGGGCGGACAGGGAGCCCTGCCCTTGGCCAGACTCTGGGACTCCTCAGGACGGAGGAGGCAGGGGTCAGAGGAGGGCCAGGTGGGACTTTGTGAGCTCCGTGACTGTCCTTTGCCTAGAAGATGACAGAGAAGGTGGGGCACCTGCTGCCTGCAGCTGTTCTCAGAGTGGGGGCTGGAAGGGGGAGACCCCAGTCACCCCAGGTCCTGACGTCATATCCCCTCCTCACTGTGCCCCCATGGAAGGGACCCAGCAGAGGGTCTTGGGCCTGCGCAGTGTGGAGACTGACACCTTCCCCACCCACCCCATCCCCACCCCCACCAGCAACTGGACTCCTGAGAGCACAGTCCCCACCTAACCTCAGCCCCAGCTGGGACTCAGACAGGGGGGCGCGGCAGAGGAGAAGCCTGCCTCGGTGGTTCCGTGGCCCCCTCGAGGCCACCGAAAGTGGGAGCAGAGCCTCGTCTCTGATGTGTTTGGTCTGACAGGGTGCTGCGGCCAGGGGCGGGCGTGAAGGGCAAAGCCCTACAAAACCCTGTCCAGTGGGCCATGCCCCCCTCCCCACAGGGTCAGCGAAGGACGATAAGTTTGTAGGGGTGGGGCTGAGATGGGTGGGGTAATTCCAGTCCCTTTGTCCCCTGGGAGCTGTGAAAGGAATTCCTGTCCCTAGGTCCTGGATTGGAGCTTGAGATGGACAGAACAGTTTCTAGATCTCTCCTCCCCAACACCACCCTGAGCTGCCCACCCAGCCCTCCACGGGAGAGAGGAGCCCCAGCCCCTTCCAGGATGAGTCGTGTGTGTCCGTGCGTGTGTGTGTGTGTGTGTGTGTGTGTGTGTGCGTGCGTGCACATGTCTGGGCAGGAGTATATGCAGAAGGAGTCTGTGTGTGCGGTTTTCTAGGCTGGGTCTGGCCTGTCTCTGAGTGTCGGTGCACGTCAGCCCAGTGACATGTATGTTTGTGGGCACGAGCCATCTCCCCTGCTTCCAGTCCTATCGATAGTCTAGAGCGGCTGTTGCCACAGCCCCAAACCCCACCTTTCCCTCCTATGGATGATGGAGCTTCCCAGGTGACCCTAGTGAATGCGAGCACCTTCGGTGGGGGTGTCACAAGCTGCTCCTGGAGCATTTGGTGGGGACAGCTGCGAAGAGAGAGCCTGGATCCTGGGCAGCACTGCCATGCCAGGAGCAGGCGGGGACCATGGCCAATGCTGCTGGGCTCCGGCTCCGTCAGGCCTTTGTTATCATCATCACCAACAGCTGGTGGGTGGCCCGGCCAGGCTGCAGCGGGGCCTCCTGATGCCCAACCAGCGCGGCTGCCTTCCTCGCCCGCCCAAGGCCTGGGTCTGAAGTGAGCCGTTCCAGGTTCCCAGCACACGCTTCCATCACGTCTGCCGGGTATTGTTCCTTAATTGTCCCATCTGTGCAGAATCTGTCGCCCCGACTAGACTGTGAGCTCCTCCTCTGAGCCTCCTGACCCTCTCCCCACCCCTGCTCCTGCCTGGCACAAGCCAGCCCGGGATGGGAAGCACTTCCACAGGGTCTGCCTAGCACAATGGAGTCCACCAACCCTGGCGCCCAGCCCTGGCTGCAGCGTAACCACCAGAGGGTCTTTTCAAAAGCTCTGGTGCTTAGGTCCCAGCCCAGAGGTTCTGATTTAATGGAGCTGGAGGGCACCTGGCACCAGAGAACCCAAGAGAGGGAACTGTGGGCCTCTCACCTTCCAGATGCTTCCTCAGTGCCCTCGCTGGGACCCATGCTGGAGCCCCAAGAGTTTCCTCCTGGAATCCCCGTGAGCCCCAGGCCTGTCCCCCTCAGCCTTGTTCCCTGCCCTGGCTGCTCCATGATGTGGACCTCTGTATCCATAGAACCCGATACAGACAAGCTGCTGGCGGGCTTTGGCTGCATCGCCACTGTCCTGGTCTGTTTGGAGAGAGGGGACCTTCTCAGAAGGTGGGGTAGCCCTGTCTGGAGGGTGCCCCACCTGGGGTTACCCAGCCCATCTGCTGAGACACCCAGGTCCTCGGGTGAGCGGGTGAGGCTGACGTGTGTCTGTGTGCACAGGCCAGCAGGTGCCAGCAGGTGCGGGCAGTGGGTGGTGGTGTGTGCTCGCCGTGCCTGAGTCCAGGAGCGTGCCAGTCTGTGTGTGCTGGTGAATCTGCAAAGAATGAGTGTTTTTGTGTGTCTCTGAGTGTATCTCTGGGTGACTTGTGTGTCAGTGTTTGTGTGTCTGTGTGAAGTGGATCTGTATAAATGTCACTTATGCTGTGTGTCTTTGTGAATCCGTGTGTCCGTGTCATGGTAGGTGGCCCAGGAATACCCCGGGCCCTGGGGAGACCAGGCTGGCTGGGTCCAGTGCCTCTCCCCAGGGGCAGCCTCGCCCTCTGGGTCAGGGTGACTGAGGCATATTGTGGCCTTAAAGTGGGGACTCCAGAGTCAACCCTCAGGGTGTTGGGACTTCCCCCCCTCTCCCCTCCAGGTTGGTGTCTAGAGGAGAAAGGGACTCCCAGGACAAGGTGCCGAGGGACAGTGGATAGAGAGTCTTGCCTGGCTGTCCCGCTGCTGGGACCACAGACAGCTCCTGGGGTGCTGCTTAGCGCACCCAGCCTGCTCCTGGAACGCTCCTGTCCCCTTTGCCCTCTGGGACGGTCCGGCACCACTTTCCCATTCATTCTCTTTCCCCTGTGCTCTGAAAGCCACCGCTCAGGCCTCCGAAGTCCAAGCCCCTCAGGGCACAAATGAAGAAGCTGAAGCCCAGAGAGGGGCCTGAGGTCAAACAGCCAGTCTGGGTAGAGCCAGCCTTGGAAACCAGGGACTAAGTCCTGGGTGTCACCATCCGGGCATAGCTGCTGCTGGGACTTCCTGTCCGGATAGCTCTGGGGAGCTGGACAAATGGCCCTGTCTCTAGAGTGCCACAGATGTCCCCAGCCCTGTTACAGAGTTGCTGGACTCCTGCTGTGGCCATAGCCCCCCCCTCCTCCACATCATGGAAGGCCTGGTGCCTGGGGGAGACTGGCATCCTTTGCCCACAGAGGCCATTGCTGCTGGCCTCCTCCGGGATCCCCAATAGAAGAGTCTCTGTTTCCCCTTCCCTCCCTTTGTCTTCACCAGAGCCTGGGCTAGGACAAAGGTCAGCATGTTCTCATGTCCTCATCCTCTTGACTTCCCCCTAAAGATCTGGAGGGCAGGATTCCTGGGGTTTCCTCTCCCTGGACAGCTCAAGGAGGCTGGAGGGGAGGGTGTTTCAGGGTCTGCTCCAAGAACCTGAGGGTGGACCTGCTGTGGACAGTCCCTGTAGGAACATTGGTTCTGGGTTCAGGGGAGCCCTCCCTGCTTCCAGAGGCAGGCAAGCCCCTCTTCTCTTTTGTCTGTATGCATGTGCGTGCGTGTGTGCGTGCGTGTGTGCGTGTGTGCGTGTGTATGTGTGTGTGTTAGGGCGGGACCACTCTTTCCTGGGGTACCCCTGACCCTTAGAACTGGGAGAGATCTTAGTGATCCAGTAGTGATCCAATAACCACTGTACAGGCGAGACGCCGAGATCCAGAGGGATGGCATTTGCCTGTGCCCACCCGTTCCCCCAGGTTGCCTGTGTTAACTTCCCAGGACCCACCGGGAAAGACCCCCTTCCTCCACCTCCCCTCCCTCCTCCCAGCTGCCCACATAATCCCCATCTCAGCCCAACTCTGCTGGCCCCTCTGCTCCAGTGGTCTCCAAGTATCCTACCTGTCCCAGGATGGCCAGCTCACCAAGGCCCTTATCCCCATTCCGGAAGGGACAAGGAAGGAAGAGACTGCTCCAACCCTGAGGCCTCAAAGACTTGGGAGAAAAGCCAAAACCCCTCATGCCCAGGCCCAAGCGTCTGACCCCCAGCCCACCCTCACACCAAGGTAAAAGCACAACAGGAGACCCCTTATCCACGGGTGAAATGTATTGGGGTTGTTTTTTTAGTCACACGACCCCGTCCTCACCCCTTTGCCTTGCTCTCCGTCTCCACCCCAGCCTCTGTTCTCCATTTGCCCCTCTTTGACCCCCGAGCCCCCCAATGTAACCTCTAGTTGCGGACGCGGTTGTTTCAATCAATAAAGCTGCAGTGTTCCAACGCTGGGTCTCCATCTGGCTGGGGGGGCATGGCAGGGGGCGTGGCGTGGCAGGGGCGGAGGGGCGTGGCAGGGGCGAGGGGGCGTGACGGGGCGTGGGGGCGTGGGGGCGTGGGGGCGTGGCAAGAGCCGGCGGGACGGGGAGCTGGGGGCTCCTTTCCTGGGGGCATCCTTTCTTTGGCACTTGCCATTGTGGATCCTGCTCTGTGGCTTGAAGAGTGGGGACGGCACCCTGGTTTGCTTGCAATGAATTTCGTGCCCTTATTCATTTATTCATTCCACAAATACCAACCCTAGACAGCCATCGTGGAATCTCTTGTTAGTAGGAGAGATGGATATTAAATTGATAATTATACCAAGAAATATATAAATATGAATGTAATTAGGACTGTGAAAGAGGGTTCTTATTTGGGCTGGGGCTTCAGGGAAGACATTGCTAAGAGAAATATTTAGGGGAGACCTAAAGAAGGATGGGAGTCACCGGTAGGGAAGAGGGAGTCTTCCAAATAGAGGGAATGGGATATGCAAAGTCCTGGAGGAATGGAAAAACCTAGAAGGCTCAGGAAGGGGAAGGATAGAGGAGGACTAAGGTTGGCATGAGTGGTTGAAATGCCACTCAGACCCCCACCTGCTGACCTTCCCCCCTGCTCTCCTCAAAATCTCTGTTCTGGCCCCATAAGCCCCACTCTGTACTCTACCTGGGTGCAGGTAGCCACCTGTCTACTTGCCCC